TCATTTAGATAAAAATTCGTTACAATGTGTTTTGTTATAATCTGGTACAACAGCACAAAAATCATTTATTTTAAAGGGATACTCCACCGTTATTGTTTTTTTTTATATTAAACTATGTTATTCAACTAGACGAGTTGATACCTCTCTCGTCTCAGTGCGTGCGCTCGCTCAGTCGCGCGAGACACTTTGATCGCACTTAACTAGCCCAGTTTATTCAATATGGGCCAAGCAGAGAAGCGACTAAACACCTCCACGTTTTCCCTATTTAAATACAGTTACACGAGAAGAGTAATTCGACCAAGAATGGTGACGGAAAATAAAACGTTGCACTTTTCTAAATTTAGATAACTATAATGTATGGCGGAATACCACAGCAAGTGCTTGGGAGCACTTCGGCTCGGCGCAGTAATATCATCACTCGTGAAAAATCCTCTCCCTCAGTGATATTTCTGTGCCGAGTCTATGTCATTCGAAGTTAGCCATTCACTCCCATCATCAAGCTTGGAAGAGCCAGGACATTTTTTAATATAACTCTGATTGTATTTTCTGAAAGAAGAATGGGATGACTTCAGGGTGAATAAATCATGGGCAAATTTTCATTTTTGGGTGAACTATCCATTTAGGTAAATCAGGTTCAAAGGTTTTATATTGGATTTTATTAATTATATCTCCCAATTGTAGCTATTGATTTCCATAATTATATTTTTATCCAAGTGGGTCCATCAACTATCCCTTTCATCAATGTTTTGTGATAAAATAAAATATGTAATATGCTAACAGCATACATTTTAGCTGTTTATTTATATATGCCAAAACCTTTTGGCAGGTTTTGGTGTGCTTGATTGGGGTTGTACCTGTTCAACCCTGAAACAAAAACAAAAAAAAAACTATTTGAAAATGAAAAGAAGTAGTCAACTAAATAATATTAGTTTAACATGTGAATATTAAGCTAAAAAGTTTATCTCAGCGTATCTCAGGAGATGCGATGTTTCAAAAATGTGCTAAATAACTGCATGACAAACATATATGACTTATTTTTTCAGCAACTTAAGACTATGTTCACAATTAATATGATCAGTTTTATTGTTTTTTTTTATTGAAGAAAAGAAAAGACTTTCTAATTCATGGTTTTTTATTAAAGTACTGTCACTATACCTTTACTTAGGATCCAAATGGTTTGGCTGCAATAGCTCCTCCTAAACCATATGGTCCAAAAACATGTTGTTGACCTAGTGTGAAAGGACTGTACTACTATAAAACTATTTTTAAATATTTAAATAAAAAAAAAACATAATACAAGAAGAATTAATGAAATTGATTTATTTCACTGCCAGAATTGCATGTGCCAATGAAGACAATCAAAACAATAAATAGTCAAGTTAAAGTACACATGTCATTGAAAACATGACAATAGTATCAAACAACCTTGTGACAAGTGACAACCCTGTGCACAAGCCACACATATGATGTCCATTAGGACCCTCTGAGAGACCATGATCCTTTCTCCATTGGAGCAATGCCTAAATAAAGGGAAAACCACCAAATGTTGAGAGTTCAGCTCCATGGTCTCCATGTGGACTGGGTTGAAAGAGGAAACGGTTCCTGTCTAAGAGCCAAGACAGGGGACTGAGGTGGGGTACAATCTCTAGCCATGTGGGGCAGAATGGGCTGAGACACAATAACAGGTCTATGCAGCGAAAGTGGTGTTATGAGAGGAGACAATGGGTCAGGAGGAGGAGGCAGAGAACAAGATGTGAAAGGATGTGCAGGGAAATTCTTGGGAGAGGAGGAGGATACGCTGAAAAAAGTGGGAGATGATGGTGGGGAACTATATTGTGATGAAGAACTGGTGGGAGAAGTCGACTGACACAAAAGTTTAGAGCCATAAAAAGACGATTCAGGATGTAAAAGAAGTTCCTGGTGAAGGTTCTGGGTTGATGGTGATAGAAGAAAGCCTGTCTGGACCACTGGTTGATTTCCTGCTTTGGAAGCATCAGTTAAGTTATCATCAAGACTGATTCCTACTTTCAGAAGAACCTCCTTCTGCTTCCAATAAAAGTCATTGGCATTCATGGGGCCTGCAGAAACAGAGATAAGCCTTATATCAGACTTATTCGGAGTGGTCTTAGAATCCATTTGATTAGACATCACTGCTGAAAGAGAGAAGAAAATTAGACACAAATTAGTCAAAATATTTCGACAATAAATAATATCTATTATAGTTTTGGCCCTTTATCGGTTTAAAACTGCATGAATTTTGCGGCAGAACATTGTTTTGGTTGTGCTTCGGCTCTGTGTGAATGAACATGTATGTATGAACATGGTTCTTTCTCATAACTTAAAGAAGAGAGATCATCCTACTGCTCATAAAACATTCACTAAACTCTATCTAACACTTAGTAAATTAGGGTTAGGCAAAAACACGTTTGGAATGGATAGTTTATTGACTCATTATTTCAATTGTAAATTTTGAACAATAGTGCACTTTTAATACTTAATTCAGAGGGGTTAAGTAACAGGTAACAATAGTACCTTTTGTCTCAGTCTTTCTTGTGGTCTTCTTGATGTAGTGAACTGCAAGGTCTAAAATCTCTGCTTTTTCCAGTTTAGGATTTTGTAAACGCTGTGGAAGGGTGAAATAGAGGGAGAGGGTTGCGTCATTGTAATTTGAAGGTTTAGTCAAAGAAATAAAGGGAAGCAATTGATCATAAACTGAGTTAAAGCGAGGTAGTCTGTCTACTCACCGTATCTGCGGTGTTCTTGAAAAGCAGATCTCTTAACGCGTCCAGATTATGGTTGATTCGATCTCTTCTCTTCTTCTCTATCACAGGTTTTAACTTCTTAAAAGTAAAATATACATATATATTAAATTGTTAGTATGTTTTTAATTTTTCAGTGCTATCATTAAACAACTTATAATATTTGTGGAATCAAATAAAAATGTGCAGATTAGTTTAAATATAGTCTAAAAGTTTAAAAAATAAAAATGTTCCTTTGAAAGAAATTGTTGCTTTTAAAAATCTTACTCTTTTGGTGCCTTCTGTCTTTGCCATGTTGAGAGTTAAACAGTCTGCTTTTCACGCCAATTCGCTGATGTGGGAAACTGCTGCTGAAATCTAACCAAACGGGAATTTCAAGCCTATGGAATGGCATTTGATTGGCGGAGAGGAGGTCGTCGTGACGTAGGCCGCGTGAGCTTTCTACCCGTTTCTACCCCATTCTATATGGCCTTTGCCAAACGATCAGTAACAGAAGTGTGGCAAAGTAAAACTGCATTCAGTAGTAGCCTATGTCTAATAGTAAGCTGTATTTAACACAGTCATTACTAAATAGATTCAAGTTTTTTATTGTTGCATAGGCTATTTAAAAAGTCTGACTATCCATATTTTGGTGGCTTCATTTTCTGGTTAAAAAAGGCGTTTGCCATTTGATTGTCTGCTGAAACATGCAAATATCAGCAAATGGTTTTGAATAAGCAGCTGAGCACAATGCTTGAAGTAAAGTGCTAAAGAATAATACATGGACAAATGGCATCTGTCCTGGGATTTTGGTGATTAAAGTTAGGCTACATAACATTTTCCTACACTACAATTGAAATTTCAAAACCTGCAGGGATAAGACCTTCATTTAATTAAAAAAATAAACTACTGATAAAGAAAATTGAGTTGAATCTTATAAAAATTAACCTATAATTTCCAACTGTTGACAAAGCTGGAAATAAAGATTAATATGGCCTTATTGAAACATTTTTAATAATAGTCATTTAACATCTAAAAAGAACCCGTTTAATTTGTATGTCAAATGGTTTTATTTAAGAAAATACAGAAAATACGATGCATTGATTTTAGTCGCGCGCCAAAGCGAGATTAGCTCGTGGCCACCAGTGAAAAGTACACGCGCATCCTGCTTTTTGTTGAAATGGGGGATGTGAGGAGGTGTGATACCCGGGCTTTTAGAGCAAATCTGTTAAGTGTGTTGTATGGGAGTGTTTTGATAGAAGTGTGAGCGATTAGGCCAACCATTATTGTCCCACGCTTATGCCTGCTTTGGAATGATGGATCATCACCAGGCGCGGTTGGTTTTGAAACTCTCTGAGATTTATGTAGACTAATGGCCTAATGTCAGAAAATACAATTGCTATTTAATTGTAATTTTGACGTGTTTTGTTGCGGCACGTCTACAATAGTTAGCCTATAGAATTTCGTTTGATACAGTCTCTTCCAACTAACTTTTATTCGTCAAGCATAATTATTTGAGCACACACGAGACGATTTAAAAAGAAAATTTAATTATTCACACACATCAAGAGAACAGCAAAAACACCACTTTGAATTGAAACCACATTCGAGCGACTCAACCAAACAGAGGAAGAGGAAGCAGCAGTGATAAACTAACGTTACTTGAAATTACAGAAATAGCCTACCTACGTTACTTCATTTTCATTGTGAGATTAAACGTATAAAATGATTGGATTCATTCTGCAATGCAATGTGCCTTTTCAACATTCATAAGGGTAGGCTAATGAGTATTTAGGCTGTATAGGCCTATAGGCTACGTTCACATAGGCTATTGTTAAGTAGGGTTACAAGCCATAGAAACAGTAAAATGTGCAATGTTATAATTTTCCAAATGGCTAAACTGTGCACTTTTTTATATCGACAATCAGACTATTTGAAATTCCAACAGGCATTATAGTCGCCTTTTAGTGGTTCTTTTAAATATAACGCATATGAATGGCTCAATCCTTCTTTGATAATCTTTGGCCATACCTTAACTGAATAGAGATCGTTTAATCCCAGTGGGGGGCTAAAGGGGTCATTATTGGCTCTCTTTCATCCAGTGCGTATGTAAATATTAATGAGGGGGGCTTGCTGAGGGACGCACGCGATTGGTCCGTCTTCTTTTGTTATTCATTACGAGAGAGTAGGCGTGTAGTGGGCTAGCATAACAAGTTAAGCATAGCAAGTTAATGTGAAGTGAACTCTAAAACGATGCTCATAATCTCAGTTTAGAGGGAATTTGGTGAATCGCCATGAGCAAACAAGCTGTTGACATATCGGAACAAAAAGACTCGAGACGGGTAAAAGTTTCTGTTTCTGGTGCGATATGGCAAAATACTGTAGATGGCGATTTGTTCATGTTAAGGCTGCTAAGAATGATATTTTACCATAATATTCAAACTGATTGTTACAGGTCCCAAAACCCCTCATGGAGAAAAGGAGGAGAGATCGCATTAATCAAAGCCTAGAAACTTTGAGGATGCTATTATTCGAGAATACACACAATGAGGTAAGTTCTTTTATTTTTTAAAGACTCTATTTATTGTATCCTGTCTTTATGTCTTTATCTGACCACGTTTTGTCTGACTTTTAATAGAAGCTAAAAAACCCTAAAGTGGAAAAGGCTGAAATCCTGGAAAGTGTTGTCCACTTCCTAAGAGCTGAACAGGAATCAGGGAATGGTCCTTTTCAAATCACTCGAGGAAAAAGGGCACACACAGAGGAGTATGATGAGGACCTGAGTTCACCTCGCAAACGTCAGAGCTACAGTAATGGAATGAGGACATGTCTCTTGCGAGTCAGCCATTTTATTGCTAGCAAGAGCCATGAGTATGGGCAGGAAGTGGAAAAAACATGTGGAAACCTTCACAAATCACATCCAATGCTACTTTCTGCACCACCCCACATAGAGACTCAGGTGCATCTCTATGAGGATCCATCACTACCAGCACAGCAACACCTCGCTCATGCCCAACTGAGCAGTTCTTGCACATCGTCTGACTGTGCAAAGCTTGCACAAAGAACTGTCCTGTCTGCTCCCAGCATGACTTCAAGTCCTAAGCAACCTGTTATGCTCTGTGCCTCCATCTGGAGACCTTGGTAGAAGGTCATGTCCTAAGTTCCTGCATAGCTCCCCAAAGACTGCTGGAACAGCAGAACAATTCATCTCTGATGATTCAGCAGTGTGGGAACAACTCCTGGACAATAGATTATGTGAATTGTGTAAATTTTCAGCATGTGTAAATATGTGGATTTTGTACAGTAGATGCCAAAGATTTATTTTGTTATAAAAAGGCATTGAGAAATCTGTGCCTGGATAGTGTGTTTGGTGATCTTACTGCCAAACAAAGAAGATACACACACTTGTGTTGAGATGTATATATTTAGTTCAAATGTTGATGCCTTTTAAGACTTTTATATCAACTGAATTTTATTTCAAAACTTTTATGAAATCCATTTTTGACTGAGGAAATGTACTTAATGAGGTGGATGTTTCAAGAGTTTTGTTATTTTGTAAACGTATGTGCCAAGAAACTGTTGGAAACTTGTGGAAACTCTTGCAGAATTTAAAGTCGTTTTTATTTTATTTTTTATTTTTTGGTAATTGTTGTAATTGCCATACATTTGTTTTTCTATAGACTGTTGAAAATGTTAATTTCATTACTTTGAGTGAGAGATTCTGTCTTAGCAAGCTTTTTGTTTGCTGTTATTTTTCTTTTCCACAGAAAGTGAAGGATTTTACTTGGAACAAAGAATTAAACCTCGTTGGGGATATATTCTTTTATCTTTGTTTGGTCTGCTCCCGTTCCTAATATTTGCATGTCTTTAATTCATTTCCTGAGAGATAGTACAGCATTGTTCTTCAGTGTGAATGTCCAGAGTTCCAATGTGAGTGATAGCAGTTGAAAACTTGATAACAGACCTGGCATTTGCAGATATTCATTGGGCAATCATTTGGTCATCTCAATGATGTTGCACTTAATCTATGGATATAAAGTATTGAGGTGCAGATTGCTTAACCGCTCTTCTGGAAGAAACGCGGGTGTGGTCTTTACGGGCTTTTGGTTTGATTATTGGTGTTGTTGGAATTTGATAGTAGACAGAGGTCTATGAGTCACCCCGTAAAAAATCTGTAGCAATTTAGACTTCCGAAGACTGTACAAATATTATTACAACAAAAGATAAAGTTTTAGCCACAATTGACTCGCAAGCGTAGGCCTATTTAAAAAAAATAAATAAATCTGAGTCAGTTCAAATATTATTTGGTTAATTCTATTTACATTAGACTTTAAGAAATAAATAACCCCAACTGTAAGGGTCCAAAATAAGGAATAGGCTACGCCCAGTATCCATTTAAACTACATTTGTATTTTACTTATGTATGTTAGTATGCATTTAAATAGGTCGTCTCTTTGGCATTATTTTTTTTTTCTGAAAAAGCGATTTAAAAAAAAAAATCAGTTGTTTGTGTGCAGCACTGTTGTCAAGATGTGAAATGAATGTGTGCGCGCAAATGTTTTTGAAACTTGGACTGCGTCATGAGGTCAATTCAAAGCCAATCCACTTTCATATAGCAAAAGTTAAAGTCTGTAACTACTTCGTGTTTTTTTTTTTAATTTAAATTAGATTAAACCGACTATACAAAAATATTTGATATAACTTTAAAAATTATTTTGATGAGTAAAGGCAGTGTAAAATATTGTCATAACTAATTGGCTACCTCATCTACATCTACATATGCCTATCACAATCCGATGGAAACATAACAACTATTTAGTGGCTAAAATATATCATTAAACAATAGGACCTGTGGAAAGTAGATTTACCACTAGATAGAATGGCTTAGTTCTACTTAACGCTCATACTCTCCCTTAAATCAACCTTCACGTGCAGCTTTGTTTCGCTTTGTCGCTCCGGATAAGCTCTTAGATAAATGAGTTTGAGTTGAAATGAGATTAGACCTTTGAGGGATGCCATCGACTGATGCCTGAACCGGTTATTACAGACAGATAAGTCCCTAAATGCCATTCAACACAAAAGGTGTAAATACATTATCCTGACCGGATGCTTTCTTTTGTCTATTCTGATCAACAAAGAGCAATGCACGGAGTAAATAGCCAACATGCAGATGTGAAATAAAGTATTTTCTATACATTTTTAATTATGACTATGAAATGTTCTGATAGTTCTTAGGTTATCAAATAAAAAAGGGAGGCTTACTGCGCTTCTGAAAAATGCCAAAACGATCCGGTGCAACCAGGGCAGGACAAGATCAAACAGAACGGGAGAAACACCGGTGCACACATCTTCTTAGAAGCAAATTTATTAGAGGTGCTTATAGTTCTTAGGTTATATTTGTATTGATCTACTGCAGGATCGTTACTCGTTTAGGCATATAGGCCTACACATTTAAACAATATGTAATTATACTTCATTAGCTAATTGAACATTATTTTTGACTATACGTGAGTAGATAGGTCTATTGAAACTAAATAGGCTTATTTAATTTAATTTTTCAAAGTACAATCATGCAGGCCTTAACTATTTTCCTCTCTCCTGTTTTCATTTCCCCTCAGCTCCATGTAATGTAGTTGTTTAACAACCATTAAAGTATTTCCTAGAATTTACATAGCAGAACTCTATTTAATAAAATAAATAAATAAATTATAATAAATTAAATCGTTTTTTAGTTAACTATTTTGTTCATCTGTTTTGGCACTTAGCCTAGGCTGATTTCATATCATGTCTAAAAACTTCTACTTTTCAATTAGGCCTACATTTATTTAAAAAAAATTAGCTCTAAATGTCGAAACTTACTTTCACTTTATGTTATTGGTATATCTCATTTGAAAATAATATTTGTTTAGTGTCTACATTTTCTGTTTGGAAAACGTTTGGATCTGTCGAATTATTGTTTTCTCAGGAGGTGTGTAGGCTATCAGACACGTCTTGGAGCATCTTGCTTTCATAAGCCAAACTTAGGGTATAGCTAGTCAACACCTTAGCTTGCCATTTTTCACACTTTAGGCCTAACTAGCACGTGGTGGCATGTTAAAGATCCACCTCACTCTTATGAAACGTGTCTCTAAATCTGGTCAATCAATGCATGCTCTAATCAAACAAAGTTAAGGCCTATGTGGTTCATTTTTGCGCCATGTATGGTGAAGGGTCTCGCTGTTGACATAGCTGTTGTTGCCAAATTACGCACGAGGGAGAGGTGCTGTCACGGTCACCTCACTCATGGGAACGAACAACCAACGTTTATTACTCCACCAACCCACTTCGCTAGTTCAATATGGTCTTTCTGGCAATTTGTCAAAAACTGTATAATTGTCAAAAGCCGACGCGTGTCATGACCTGGTTGTAAAAACAAAGAAAGCATGCGCAGCCAGGAGCGTTCAGGTGACGATTGAGGCGCGCACACTTATTTGCAGCCCATTCTCACCCCCAAGGCGTCACTTAACTGACGCCTTGGGAAGTATTTGGACATGCTTCAATATCTGACGCTTTAGGCGCCCTTTAGCGTCAGTTAGATGACGCCCTAGGATCGCGTGTACCCTACCCCACCCCACACCTAAACCTAACCGCGTCCCTTAACTGACGCTTTCCTTTAGCGTCAGTTAGATGACGCCGTAGGATCGCGTCATGTAAGTGACGCTAAAGGGCGCCTAAAACGTCAAATATTGAAGCATGGTCAAAGGTGACGCCTTGGGGTGAGAATGCGTTGTTATTTGACGTAAACGTGAAAAACTGTCACTCTTACATCAAACAACAACAGTTCAAGTGAAAAGCAGTGTATAGTTCTTTTTTTAATCGTATATAATTATCAAACATAAATCAGATTACTGTTTTGTATTTACATTTTGGAGGCTTGCCGTACGCATTTAAAAATCTCAAATTGCCTATATCAGAACTCTTAACGTCAAAACCGTCCAACTTTTGCATAATTACCCTGCTCAGCCCAGAAAAGTCTACTTCAAAAAGGATACCTCAAAGCCTGTCTGTTTAATTAGCTTTGCATATTATTGCTTCAATAAATACCTAATCCCTTTAGAAGCTTTTCGCCAGAGTTTACGATTTGGACTTAATGCTGGTGTGTTGGCAACCTGCTTTTAAAACGTATATACAGGTCCCTTACAAGTAGCGCCGTTCTTTCAATGCCTTTTATTCATGTGAGTTAATCCCCGGCGGGTGGGAAATGAAGGGGGACAGGTCCCCCTCTACGGGATATTAATTGAGGTAAGCATCCACAATGCGGACGTCTGTGCTTCAGCGCTTCTCCATTGCGCGTCTGATGGCCTGTTGCGCAGGGGCGGATACACACCCTGTTGACCGAACGCTTCAATGACATTACCCCGAGCAACATCTGGCCGTATGCACCACTCGCCTGCCCCTTTAATTAGAAAACGAGTCGCCTCACTGCTCAACAACTCTCAAGGCATTGCTAGATGGTGATGCGCAGCCAATGTAAAGTATTACATGACCAAGGTCTTGTGCTTTTAGGAATGTTGAAGTTGCATACAAAGCCATATCCTCCTGGGGCCCATGGAATGGACTTCTGTCCAATGCATGGGCATTATATTTTAGTGAATTTCTATGACACCACATGTGTTCATACATGTGACTGTTGTGATAAAACATGTTTAGCACTACAAGTGAAAGAAATTATGCATTATGAAATATTTAATATTATTATGAGAATGTTCCACAATGACATGAAAACTTGGGGTCTCAGGAGGATATTACATGTTTCTATATAGGCAATACATTTATAAATAGTTTTAGTCAAATATCATATGACCTGAAGAAAAACTTGCCGCCATTCAGGCCTACCCAGAATAATTAATAATAATAATTATAATAATTAATAATAACAATATAATTAGGATTACTTACAGGCTCACACATAAACAAGCAGATGATGCAGATCATGCGTATCAATCCTCCTGTCTCTGACCCAGTTACCATTAGGATATGAATGACGTCATTTCATTTATCTTGGCAGCGTCATTCGCACTGATTACAGTGCCCCCCCCCCCCCCCTAATACATCTAATACCATCTCTAATATCAACATGAACTAAAAGACACGATGCAAGAGCATATGTCAGGAGATCAGCGATTAAGATGTACTCACACTCTAAAAAATGCTGGGTTGTTTTAACCCAACTTTGGTTCAAATATGGACTAACCCAGCCGTTGGGTTAAATTTTTACATTACATTTTTAACCCAACATTTCGGGTTTGTCCATATTTGACCCAAAATTGGGTTAAAACAACCCAGCATTTTTTAGAGTGCAGTACTCAGGATGTCTCAGGAAAGGATACCTAAAGTGAATTTGCGCTGGACATCACCTGGCTTGTGTCAAATTGTATTTCTATATTTGAAGAGTTCAGATGCAAAAGCCTCTAAATGCCATTTGAAATTTTCTTCTTTAATGATGATTTTTATCAAACTTGTATATTTAAGTTCAGTAATTTCACTTAAATGGCAATGATAATTACCTATTAATTGTTATTTAAATGAAATTACTGAACTTAAATATTCAAGTTTAATAAAAATCATCATTAAAGAAGAAAATTTCAAATGGCATTTAGAGGCTTTTGCATCTGAACTCTTCATTTATTTTTCCAACACACACTCTAAAAAATGCTGGGTCGTTTTAACCCAATTTTGGGTCAAATATGGACAAACCCGAAATGTTGGGTTAAAAATGTAATGTAAAAATTTAACCCAACGGCTGGGTTAGTCCATATTTGACCCAAAGTTGGGTTAAAACAACCCAGCATTTTTTAGAGTGCATAAAACCTAAGCCGCAATAAAACCTCATACTCGATACACCCTTGAACTCAACAGACTCAGTGGCTCAGTTGTCATCAAGAAGACCTGAGTTCAAATCCCATTCTCGCTTACGTTAAATTGTTGTGATTATATCAAACAAAGTGGCCAAAACAATATTTCTAGTGGCCAAAACAACATTTCTCCAACCCGGTATCACGACAAGACATGAAATAATCACGTTGGTCCACTTTGGAAAACGTTAAATGTCACGCTATTACCCCTCAAACGTGAAACTTAAACTTAAACTTACCATAACGACCTATTGGTTTTCAATAAACTGAGAAAAATGGAATTTTGTTTTATTTACGATCACTGAGAAATGTTCTATTATTTAAAATGCAAAAAAAAAAAAAAAGAAGAAAAAAAAATATTATTTTCAGGGTGAAAAGGATTCATTTGCCTTGATCCACGCCGAAAAAAAAACGTCTAAATGTCAATGAAGCAGCCTAAATGGTCCACTTTGGAAAACTTCAGTGCCCAACCCATGTGTATCAGGACAAGACATAAAATAATCACGTTGGTCCACTTTGGAAAACGTGTAGATGTCACGGTTTAACTGATAGTGATAGTTTAAACTCAAAACCATAAATAGGTCTATACTGCCCTCTTGTGTCAAATTATATTTCTAGATTTATTTTTCCAACACATAAAACCTATAAGCCGCAATAAAACCCATCCAATACTCAGTACACCCTTGAACTCAACAGACTCAGTGGCTCAGTTGATAAAGTGCTGGGCTTTAATCAAGAAAACCTGAGTTCAAATCCCATTCTTGCTTAAGTTAAATTGTTGTGATTATATCAAACAAAGTGGCCAAAACAACATTTCTCCAACCCGGTATCACGACAAGACATGAAATAAGAAATAATCACGTTGGTCCACTTTGGAAAACGTGTAGATGTCACGGTTTAACTGAAAGTGATAGTTTAAACTCAAAACCATAGGGCTATACTGCCCTCTTGTGTCAAATTATATTTCTATATTTATTTTTCCAACACATAAAACCTAAGCCGCAATAAAACCCATCCAATACTCAGTACACGCTTGCACTCAACAGACTCAGTGGCTCAGTTGATAAAGCGATGGGCTTTAATCAAATCAAGAAGACCTAGCTGTGTTCAAATCCCATTCTTGCTTACGTTAAATTGTTGTGATTATATCAAACAAAGTGGCCAAAACAACATTTCTAGTGGCCAAAACAACATTTCTCCAACCCGGTATCACGACAAGACATGAAATAATCACGTTGGTCCACTTTGGAAAACGTGTAGATGTCACGGTTTACCCCTCAAACGTGAAACTTAAACTTACCATAACGACCTATTGGTTTTCAATAAACCGAGAAAAATGGAATTTTGTTTTATTTACGATCACTGAGAAATGTTCTATTTTTTTAAATGCAAAAAAAAAAACTTTTTTTTATTATTTTCAAGGTGAAAAGGATTCATTTGACTTGATCCACGCCGAAAAAAAAAACGTCTAAATGTCAATGAAGCAGCCTAAATGGTCCACTTTGGAAAACGTGTAGATGTCACGGTTTAACCCCCTCAAACGTGAAACTTAGACGTTTGCGTTAACACGCTCCAGTGGAGAGATAACCGGATGTTTCTACACGCAATCGCCTCTGCCATAACGACCTATTGGTTTTCATTAAACCGAGAAAAATTGAATTTTGTTTTATTTACGATCACTGAGAAATGTTTTATTATTTAGAATGCAAAAAAAAAAAAAACATTTATTATTTTCAAGGTGAAAATGATTTATGTGCCTTATCCACGCCGAAGAAAACGTCTAAATGTCACGTTTTTAATGAAGCAGCCTAATGAGTAAAATGTCTATTTTTCCGGCATCCCCCAGCTCCTTCTTTAAGCAAAAGGTACGCTACCACAACCATAACCTTTTAAATACTCGACCTAGTTCCGTTGCTTAACGTGAAGAAACTCCTGTAACTTCAGTGCCCAACCCCGTGTATCTGGACAAGACGTGAAATAATCACGTTGGTCCACTTTGGAAAACGTGTAGATGTCACGGTTTAACTGATAGTGATAGTTTAAACTCAAAACCATAAATAGGGCTAGCAAGTGCAAACGAGGCAAGCCAAGAACAAAATGGTGACTGACAACAGCGACTGAGCTGGAAAAATAAATGTGATTTTATTTTTTCACAACTGTTTCCCCCATCATTTTGCAGATAAAACCCCAGGAACAATTTCTACTCAACTATATTTTTTTTTTCACAAAACTTGGTTAACTGTGCATGCAGGAGACTTTATCCTGGGTTTATTAACTGCATCTGGTTGGGGAACAAATATTTTATGATTTTTCTATTTCTTAATCTCTCCCTGTTCAAGCTTGTACTATTCTGAACAACGCTAGAACCTTCGTATTGTTAGCACTTTTTAATGTTTTTACCTCCTTAAAATTAATAACTTATTGTATTCCACATTCATAAACCATTTAAAAATGTTGTTGAACAATATGTGTATAATGTATAAAATGTCATTTGAGTAGTCTCAAAAATACAAAAGTCTAGTTTTTACTTTATAGTAAGTTTGTAGTGCTGTCTTTAGTTTGTGCACTCTGGTTTTCATGTTAACAATTCACATTCTTGAATAAAGTCTGAATTGAAAGCTTAATCAAAAGCTAAGCAAATTATTTCTTCTATTCAGTTCAGCCCTGTATCACCCCAACCCCAAAATGTCTTAAAACTGTCAATGGACAGCAGACTGATAAAATCTCAAATCAGCATAGCAAATTATGTTTGTAATGTAATATAAACAATGATGTAAAAAAAAAAGAGTCTGAACATAGATAAACAAAATTTATTGATAGCCTAACAGCATCAAACAAAACAAAAACCTACAGAATTATGTTAATAGACATGTGAACAAGCATGGGTTATTAGTAGGTACATTCAGTCTCTGAGTTTCACTGGATAAGACTAGCGTCACAACCGAGTAATCCATTTAGGCCTTCCCAACAGCTTGACCCTGAGCCCGCTGGTACTCCTGCTGTAAGCTGGACAGAACTTCCCGATGCTGATCCGACTTCTTCTCCATCTCCTTCAGTAAAGTTTCATAGCGCTGACTGAGATGAAGAGGAGATCAGTTAGAGATTTGAACAGAATCAAATGCAGTATGAGTGGTCCCTATTCATACATACATTTCACCATTGATGTATTCCAATCTCTTGGCAACTGTTGCTTTGGCTTCATCTAAATCTTGTTTGACCAGAACTGGTCCAATTAGTTTGTAAATTGTATTTTGGCAATCCAACAAGGCAAGCTCCTACAGAGGGATGACATATGTGGTAACCCATGGCAAACATACATAAATAAACATGTAAATGTAGAAGATATTTGTATTGTAATTGTATTACCTCCTTAACAATATTATTTTCAGTCAACTGTGCCTCCAGTTTCTGTCGTGCTGACATACTTTTACTGACTTCTGCGAAAATAAAGTTAATAGTATCTGTATTCACAATTAAGAAATGAGAGAAAGGACATTTTTGCGTGCGCAAAAAATGCAAAGCATTTAAAATCTAACACATTTAAACACACACACACACACACACACACACACACACACATGAAAAACACTTCTTTATTGAGTAAGCAGATAACTATGACAGCTCTGAACAGGTGCTAAATAACTAAATCAAGTCCAATTTGAAAAACTGACAGTGACAGACACTTTCTCAGTGCGTTGTAAAATATATATCAAATAAATACAATTTTATGAAAATGGATGTTAACACACGCAAAGAGTGTTGAAATGATTGCTAACATGGACAGCTAGCGTTTTGATGTATAATGTTACCTTTTTGCAGTAGTTGATATTTCTCCAACTCAGACTGTAATTTTTTCTGAATCACTTCAGCCATCACACCAGTTATTCTGATTTCGGATCACTTTTTATCTGGATAACTTAAACAAAAATATATATCTTACAACAAAAGCAGTCAGCAGCACACGGATCATGCAGTCTGTCTGGGGCGCAGAGGAAATGACGCAATGTTCTTCATGTTTCGAAAGTGTCACTTCGCCATCTAGTGTTTCGGTTATTCATTTTCGGTCAAGATTTTGGTTTCTCCTTCAAATAAACGTCTTGAAATGGCCATCAATCAGGAAATTATAGTTTTTCCTCATTTGCTTACAAATATGTTAAATATGTTATCTAGTGGTCAATATAAATAATTTTCATATTAGATTCCACCAATATTTACAGTCGTAGTCCCCCTCCTGTCCATTTGGGGGAGTCTATCTGCTTTCATCAAACCACCAGAAGTGACAGTACAGCCAATATGGCAGCGCGCATGGTTCAAATACAAACGTGAAGGTCTTTTTCGCTTGTACGTGAACACATATTATCCCACTTGCTGGTAATGTGAATTTCATTATTCTTTGTATCACAATCAAATGTATCGTTTGTTTTAAATATGTACATGAAGCTGCTTAGTAACCATGATCGATTAATGTGCTATATGCAATGATGTATATTGTTATTATTACTACATTTATTTAACTGTAACCGGTGTAAAGTACTTCTCAGTGCTTGAGTTCTACTGTTTCATAATGGCAGTCAGTCAGTCACTTGTTCAAAATTGGGTTCCGTGTTTTACCATAATAACGTGACCACTGATATCTTCACTTATATGTATGTTTCCATGTACTAAATATGTCAGTATAATGTGTGTATTATGTGATGATACATCCTTTTTTTTAATTAACATGAAATCAAGTCACTCTGCACTTTCATTTAGAAACTCTTTTTTTTTCCCCCCCTTTTTTTTGTCCTTTCACACTCAAAAGTAAATTTTGGTCACTGATGTTACTGGTGGTGGAATTAAAGGGATAATTCCCCCCAAAAAGCATTTATTTGCCTTCAAATTGTTCCAAATCTCTATTAGTTTCTTTCTTCTGTTATTATATTTGGAAGAATGTTGGTAACCGGTACGGCACCTATTGACTTCCATAGTATTTTTTTTTTGTCAACGGCTACTGTCAACTTTCATTTTTTGGTGAACTATCCCTTTAAATATATTATTTTTATTATATTAACTGGAATATTTCCATTAACCAGTAACACCAGAGGTAGCACCATATGAGTCATTCTGTCAACTCAAATCTTTGATTTTGGTAATATTTTTCCTATAGACAAACATAAATAGTGATGTAAGCCAAAATATTAAATGTCGCAGGTGTATATTTGCTGAGTAATCCACTATTTTGTAGAGGGGGGTCAAAATGACGATTTTCACCTGAGATAGTGGGGTTAAAATGACTTTAAAATGATGGCAGCATCATTTTATTTTTGCACAGAGATTGGTAGGCATATTAGTTAAATCGGTTAACTTTAGCAATCTTTGTTTTATTAAATGCCAAAGGTGACAGTTCTAATAAATGGCAAAAAAACACTGTCGCAAGTTTGCATGCCTCTGTAATGCCTTTAAATCTTGCGTATTTCTATAAGCTCATTTGCATATTTACATTTGTTCATTTAGCAGAAGCTTTTATCCAAAGCGACTTACAAATGAGAGCAATAGAAGCAATTAAACTTACAGTAGGACAACAAACGTACGTGCTGTGACCCCTCTCAGATCAATTTAAATTTTTTTTTTTTGTTTATGAGAAAAGAATAGAAAAGAGAAAGAGTTAGTCTTACAGTATCAAGTGCTGTCGACTCAGTAGCTCTGGGTTAGTTAGGCAGACCATTCCACCAACAGGGAACAATAAAGGTCTGAGAAAGAGATTTTGTGCCTCTTTGAGATGGTACCACAAGATGACATTTGCTGGCAGAGCGCAAGTTTCTGGATTGCACATAAGTCTGAAGTAGTGAGTTTAGGTAAGAGGGAGCAGTGCCAGTGGTTGTTCTGTTGGTGAACGTCAGTGATATAATTATTTAACACACCTGTGTGAGTGCCATAAATATTATTTTTCTAAAGTTTTCATGCCTGTAACTCTAAAAGTATTAAAGATATCTTATACCCTTCTAGATTCTCATTCTTAATAGACCTTTCTATTGAAATCTTCTATTTTAGCAGAAGCAGCTCCATGCAACTTCAAATTGTTGAATTGTTCCCATTTTCAATGGTCCATTTTAAGGCCCTTTATTGTTCATTCTCAAATGATGTCAATGCAGTAACATATAGTTGAAGCAACTCTTGCTGTTAAAATGGACAAAAATACCATCTTCCAAATATCCCTAAAACTGATTCAAATGTAGATTCTTATAAATAAACTTTTGAGAGCAGGTTAATCAACCATTTTTAGTACATTTTTCTCAGAGTTATGTTTTATGCAATTCTTTTGATAATCTTTAAACAATAAATGTATCTTGTTTCCCTCTATTTATTCTTCAGTCATTCCACTTTAAATGCAATAAGTATCAGCTGTGTGTGCACAGTGAACCACATTTGGTTGTCAGTCAATGAAATTTAGGGCCGTGAAAAAGTTCTTAAAGAATCTAAAAGGTTATAGGTGTTCTATGCAATTTTAAAACACAATATATATTTCTAGTTTCAACGTTAGTTGTTCTTCAGATATTCCTCTTTAAAAGAAGAAAAATATCAGCTGTATGCATTGCAAAGTGGCCCACATTTTGTTTCCCACTTTTTTTCTAGTTTGCTGTTGTAAATTAGGTGGTAGTTTAGCTCTTTGCTGAGGTTATCACAAATTGCACTCTGCTTTGTTGTCAAAAATCAATATGCACCTGGAGGGTATCAGAGGAATTGAGCAGAATTCTGAAACACCAGCCTGCTCACTGAATTGCGACGTCTGTTGCACCTTTGTTTGTTATTGAAATGAGAATAACAGCATCTCAGTGTTGTATCTTGTTCTAAAATCTAAAATCATTTAATTTCTTATAGTGTGCAGAGCACATGTTTTCATTCACTGTTGTAACCTTTTTACGAAAGCCAATTTTCCCATATCTTCCCATTTTGTGCAAAATGCAAGCTGCGGTCGAAAAAACTAAATCACTTTACCAGTCATTTCTGTTATGAATTAAAGGGTTAGTTCACACAAAAATGAAAATGATGTCATTAACGACTCACCCTCATGTCGTTCAAGCCCGTAAAACCTCCATTTAGTCCGAGAGCTTTCTGTCCCTCCATTGAATATGTACAGTATACTGTCCTTGTCCAGAAAGGAAATAAAAACATCATCAAAGTAGTCCATATGACTTCAGTGGGTTAGTTAGAATGTTTTGAAGCATCAAAAATACATTTTGGTCCAAAATTAACAAAAACTGTGACTTTATTAAACAGTATTGTCTTCAGTATTCCGTACATTTTCAATGGAGGGACAGAAAGCTCTCGAACTAAATATCTTAAACTGTGTTCCGAAGATGGTTTTATGGGCTTGGGACGACATGAGGGTGAGTCAGTAATGACATTTTGGGTGAAGTAACCCTTTAATGTTTTATACTTTCCTCCTCATTTATTTTCCAGCTTTTGTCTACTTTGCGAAAACAAACGACAATTGCTTGTTCAGCAGTTTTCTAAATGGCTATTCTTGCCTCAACAAACATGTTTTCCCATGTCTGCAAGTTCAATTTGTCTCAAACCAAAAACAGATATATCAAGAGAGAGTTAGAATCTAAATGAACTGGCTGGCTTTCAAAAGTCGAGCTGTAAATCTATATATGTAAATGTGAAACTGCAGAGGGAATGATTTTGAGGTTCTTAAATCATTTCATAATGAGAGTCCTGTCTCTCTTTGTGATCTTAAATCAGGAATGATGTAGTCCTGCTAATGCCATTGACTCCCTTGAGTGTTTCATTTTCCATAAACTGGGTTTTACCCCATTTGATCTGAAGTTTAAGGTTTGAACAGAACAGCAGTAGGTATGAGGTTTTTCTTGTATGGCTTTCTCTGAATTTGCATTAAGATATTAATTCTCTTTACTGAGTCTATTTTGTTGTTGTTGTTTTTGGCTAATGGACAAAATGCTCCAAACAAATAAATAAACAAACCGGGGCCACATTCATCTATTGCTAATAGTATATTGCCCTATTTTCCAGTGCAATTTAAAATTATCCCAGAAGTTTGCATTACTTTTTAATATTGTTGCAGCCAAGATACTTCAGTGTAAAACACTGTAACTATTCATTTTCAGGCACCAATTATTTGTACACCTAGTTCATTATTCTCTGTTAAAACAAACTATAGATGGCTCATGGCTATAGATTGAGTAGGACAGTAAACAAACAAATGTGAATGTACTAGGCAAATTAAATTTCATTTTGGGAAATTAAATTAGCCTAAAATCTTAAATCATTTAATCATAAAAGGCAAACAAATCTTTATTTTCATGGATTAAGAAATAGCAGCCGAGTCAGTACATTTTCGTGACTCCAATAACAAGTGTATAAATATATTTTTAAGATGTTAGGTACTTGCATACATGCATACATACAGTATATATATATATATATATATATATATACATATACACACACACACACACACACATGCAGTGGGGAGAACAAGTATTTGATACACTGCCGATTTGCAAACAAAGGTTTCTGTACCAAATAATAAGGTCTGCTTTTCTGGTGTATCAAATGTCATGCAATAAAATGCAAATGATTTATTTAAAAATCATACAATGTGATTTTCTGGATTTTTGTTTTAGATTCTGTCACTCACAAAGTACCTATGATAAAAATTACAGACTTCTACATCCTTTGTAAGTGGGAAAACCTCAAAATCAGCAGTGTATCAAATACTTCTCCCCACCATAATAAATATACATGAAAATCTGTTATTAAAATATCAGTCGATATTTAAAATAGGGAATTAATATTCATTTTTAATCAACAAAATTTTAAATGTTTTTTTTTTTTGCTTGCAAAGAATTCATGTTTATTCAAGAAGGGTGCATTAAATTAATAAAAAGTGACAGTAAAGACACGTTATTATATTACATAATACATACATTATGTTATGTTACATACTTTCTATTTAGCAAAGGATAGGAAAAAGGTTTTTTTTCTGCAAAAATATTTAGCAGCAAAACTGTTTTCAACATAGGTATAACAATAAGAAATGCTTCTTAAAGGGATTGTTAATTTTTGGTATATGTTTTAACTTACCACAAGGGCATCCAAGATGTCTTTGTTTCCGCAGGATTTTCAATTTTGATTTTTAGGTCAAACCGTTCTTCTCTGTCAGTCATATAATGCAGGTCGATGGTCACCACCTCAAAGAGCATGCACAGAGAACTTCAAATTAAACATGATTAATTGACTCATAAATGTAAGTACACATTGATGCCCTAAGTAAGACACTCTGTTTGTGTCAGAACAGTATTTATATCGTTTTACTTCTTGTAACCACAGCCACGTCCAAGTGATCTGAGAGCGCAAGTGCCGGAAATCAACACAATTTTAAATGTTTTTGCTTGCAAGGAATTAATATTTTTATTCAAGAAGGGTGCATTAAATTAATCAAAAGTGACCGTAATCTCCTTAGCACCAAATCAGCATGTGTTCATGTGACACTGAAGACTGGAGACTGGACTGAATGATGCTGAAAATCCAGCTTTGTCATAAAGGGAATAAATTACATTTTAATATGCACAATAGAAAACCAACGGCTAGTTGAAATTATAATAATTTTTTCGCAATATTACTGTTTTTACTGTAATTTTGGTGAAATACATGTAGCCTTGGTGAGCATTAGAGACGGATGTCAAAAAATATTTCTGGCGTTTCTTATTTTCTTAATAGTAATGATTCAAACAAAATATGTTTTTTCCCCCTGAAAATATCAAATGTTATTCTCAAGCCATTTAATCTAATTTAGAAAGCTGATGAGTGCTTCAAAGCAGGAAATACAAAGTTTGACAGACAATGCCTGCAGTCCATACTTTTTTCTTTTCTTTCATGTATTTTATATCCCCATCACGTCAACAGTGCTTTAAAATGGAAAGGAAATTTCATGCATGTTTATTCAAAACAGTCAGGCACACTGTTATTTTCAGCACCAAGTAAAAACACACCACCCTAAACCTCCCCCCATCCCCCAAAAACGTAAATTGGTGCCAAACACAATATTCCAAATAAATTGCTTCAATTCAACTCAGAATTGTTGATGTCCTCTTTTGCTTCTGAATATGTTAAGATGCTTGGACCTCCTGCCAAGAAGTATGGGTTTACCAGCAGCCCAACCGTCCCTGACTGCCTCTTAAATTGATTCAACATGCTTTTTAAAACAGCAAAAACAGAGAACAGCATGACATTAAGGGCAATGTGTGATTGGCATTTTAAAGAAAACACAAAGTAGTTTTTAATGCAATGTATTCCCACAACTGGTGATTACTGAGCCTATATCTGCTGGTTCTGCTCTCCTTAGCCATGTGTATTCTGAGATCCAAGACGTTTCAGTGCTTGTGAAATTCTCTCGTGGTTGGCTCCTTCAGTTGTGAGGATTAACTTGGTATTAAAACCAATGGCGCGTTCCAACCAGTGGCTAAGGTGTGTTTATTTCACCTCTGTCCTCATCTCCCTTGCCTTTATGAATTTATAAATAGTGAGGTTAACCTGGAAACAGATCGCTGTGAATAATTAAGATATCTAGTTTTCACCTGGGTTGAACAGTTACAAAATGGGTCAAGTTCTACTGTTATATTTGTATTTGGGTGGGTGTGCTTTGGTCTGGCGAATGGCGTCAAACACGTAGTGGCTTTTATTCTATTTAGTTTATATCAGATTATAGGGTGTGTTTTTTTTATGAGTCATGCTTCCCCATGTGCATACATCTCAGGCCATTTCCACCACTCAACTAATTGATTGAATCATGTAATTGAATTTAGACTTGAATGGAAAAAACAGGTATTACCCTTTCGCCCTTTGCGTCAGACACTAAAACTGTGTGTTTTGGTGGCTGCCGTCCAATCTTCTCCATCGACCCTTTCTGATGTAGACCCATAGAGCGCTAGCTAACTGTAATGCATCAGCAGAGTGCAGGGAATTGTTGAAGGCAGCCAAGCACAGAAGCTCCTCGAGTGCATGCCGCACATGTGCTTTTATCCCTTATCTTTGAAGGTCCTGAGGTTTCATAGCACTTCGTCTCGTGAGTGTCTTCACACACAGCATCTCGAGATAAGGCCACTGTGCACTCCTGGGAGAGCTTTTATGGATCATGGAGCTTTTGTGTGACTCACTTTTCAACCTCTGGACATGTATTGATTTTTTTGTGTGTGTGTGTGTTTAATTTTTAATGAATAAAGGAGACCTCTATAATTACCTTTCCCAACAGGCAAAGGGGACGGACAGACGAGTGGCAGACCAGACAAATAGACAATATGTCTAAGATATCTAAAGCGGCCAAGGCAGTGAAAAAGTTGGATACTGGAGGCGTCATCAGAGCGATTGTAAGGTCTGGACAAGCAGCTCCTGGGCCTCCCCTGGGCCCCATCCTGGGACAGGTAAGCTTTTAGACCTCTCGTTTTCAGCATCGATTTCATTTTCTCTTCATTATTTTATTCTTTATTGTGTTTATGGCCTTTGTAATGACTGTAATGCAGTTATTCTCAACCCGGGGCTCAGACTCAGTATAGAGCACCTCAGCAAGGGGACTAAACAACCATAAAAATGAGAAAAATATAAATTGACAAAATATTTATTTTTTAATTCACCACCTCAAAAACAGGTTTTTTTCTTTGAGCAACCATGGTTGTCACTGTCTGGAAAACCTGGACTATATGTGGTAGCCTAATTATAAAAGCATGATTTCTAGACCTGGAAATAATATTTTGAATAATGCTGGTAATCAAACAGTTGACGGCAGCCAATAATTTCCATAGCATGGCAGTCAATGGCTACCATCAACTGTTTGGTTACCAACATTCTTCTTCTGTGTTAAAGGGACACTTCACCCATTTGCATTAAGCTTTGTATCTTTAGAAACCCAGACATATTTTTGAGAGGTCATGGGAGATGGGAGAAGTAAGTATTTAAGTGTTCCACATACTGCTTTTTATGACGCAAAATGGCAATTTTTACGTCATAAAAAGCAGTAAAGTCCTATTTCTTTGTATAAGGGTTGAGACTACAAACACTAGCTCATCATTTATCTGGAGTGTGGGACCCACTCACGCCACAGGCCTATTACAGATCTGTGGGTGGGACTTCACTTGCAGATATTGGAATCAATATCAGCCATCTTGTTTGGAAGCTAAGCTAACAAGCGCTGTGGAGATAGGAAGTTAAGACAATGACGGAAGAAACTAACCATGATATTGAAGAAGAGGATTTTGAAATTCTGCTGCTCGAATCCAATGTTCGTGGCTATCTTTATGAGCCGCAGTATAGTGAAGAGCAGCTGAGGCTGATGGAGGAACAGGAGGCGGCTGCCTGTCGTTTCGCGGTCCAGGAGCCCAGACGGGCTCAAACTGGGCGGACTGCTGCAGAGAATTTCAACAATGGTAATTTCTCCTGGACGAAATCTCTGAATCAGACGAGCACACAGACGTTTGTGTTGTGATGTGAACCATCCTAGTGTTGCACCGCATATTTTCTGACTGAACATCCCGATATCATGCATATCCGATATCATCCTCGCGCTGTGCTGTCACACCCCTCGACCTTGTCCTGCTTGCTATACTAACTAGAAATTTTGTGTGAAATGAATTTCAAACTCTGGTGGCAGCTAGCCTTGTAGATGGAAGAGTGATTTCCCTGATGTTTGTGCTGTTCTGGATTAGTGGGAGTGGCTTGTGGAGCTGTGCAATGTGATGCTTTGTAGGAGTTGTCTTGCATACAAATGCACCCTAAAGTTATTATTTTTCTTTTCTCAGTCATGAGGGCACCAAATTAAAAATTTATTTTACATTTAGACTACATATATGACCCACTTTCACTAAAGATTAATGTTGAAATGGGTGAAATGTTCCTTTTAACAGATGAAAGAAACTCCAACAGGTTTGTAACACCTGAAGGTTCAATAGATCACAGAAGTTTGCTTTTATCTGATCTATCCCTTTAATCTTTATCAATGAATGAATGAATGAATGAATGAATGAATGAACCCCTTTATTGTCATTGCCTGTAAGTACAATGAAATTATAGAGCCACTCTGATAGGTGGATCATAAAACACATACAATGTATAAAACATATCACACAACATATTAATTTAAAACCTAATTTACCCACATTCCTTCTAAGGGGCAATAAATATTCTAATAACAAGTACTGAGTAACTTGTTAGATAGTACGATAAGTTTCATTCACGTGTTTTACAACATAAAATACACCATAAATATTGTGTTTTTAAAGCAGTCTGCAGTTTTTCCTCTTTTTCGCCATCTCTGTTCGAAATCTGTAATTGCAGATATAGATTGCAAAATAATTCATATTTACCATGATAGCAAAACACAAAAAAAGCCACAACAAAGGAAACTCTGTAACTGTGTGAATTAAGCGAACAAGTGTGCCACTTTTACACGATTGAACTATTGAAATGTCTTACCTGTCCAACAGAAAAAAGACGTCTCTGCATCTGTTTTGAACCCCTTCAAATCACAGAGTTCAAAAGCCCTGCCGATGTTTATCCTTGTTTTCACGTGGCCCGGTCCCAGTCTCTTTTTTTCTCTGCTCACTCCGAAGTTTGAATTCTTTTGGGTTTTGCAACTGGTGTATCTCCAGTTGTCACTGGTGATTGAAGTTTGAACCTTTCTGAATCCGCCATAAGTTTAATTATTTAAAGTGCTGTGAGAAAAGGCTATACATTTCCACCCCCAACATCCTCACACACAATATATAGCTTATACTAGCCGAGACTCCTTCTTAATGTGTACAGATGTGACGTAATGACACAAAGACATGCTCGAATTTCCCATCAATACCACTGGAATCAAAATCATTATTACAAGCTAACAGTTTTGAATCGAGCAAAGGCAAGCAGATAGTTTTGAACACTGGCTGGTTGTTTTTTTTTTTAATTATTATTATTTTGGATAATTTTTAACTCAAAAAATGGCGTACTGGAGTTTTAAAAGATGGTTACTGAAAAAGTTGTCAAAGTTTAATGGTAGTGATGCTGAAGTCGTGTGACTGTGGTCTAGTTCATTTATAGTTTCGCTTTTTATTCCTGGCAAATGTATTTAAGCTTTGAAATTCATAAAAGTTGTTCATTGGTGAAGATTATCATGAGGAAGAAATCATGTATGAATCGTAAACTATCGCAGGTTACAGAGGTCATTTTCTGCAATAATCCAAAAGCCAATGGAAAAATCTTATTGTGTTTTTGTTGAGGGAACAAAGGCGATGCCAACTTCCGGGATGGCCTATAAAAAAATCACAGCTTCCACAGCTTTGGCCATTTCAAGTTGTCGTCTTCTGCGGAGTTGAATCTAAAGACTGAAAATCACGGAGATCTGATGTTTCTCTAAATGTTTTGTGTTTTTCTCCACCACATAGGGACTGTCATTTAGTCAAAAGTTCATACAGGCTTACCATCTCTTCTCATATGTAAAGCACATTCATAACTAACAAGCTAATTACAGCTGTAATGATGTCATTACAGTCCCTTGCCCATCATGATGATAATAAATGAGACATTGCAATGAGCCAGTGCAAGTCAACCTGGCCTCCAGAGTGATCTTGCCTTGTGAAGAAAGCTGTTATGAACTAAATATGAGGTGTAATGAGCATTAGTCAAGCAAAGCAGCACCATATGTCCGTGAAACACGCACAGTCGTGTGTTTGTGCATGTGTCTACACGTGCTCTTGTCAGCTCTGTTTGAGCTCTGCCATCTTCGGCTCTGCTTTTATGTGTATTAAACCGCAAATAAATTTCAGCCAGTAGGCCTTCAGCTTACAGCTCTGGCCCTTTAATCTTCCCACTTTCTCCCTTCTTGGTTTTTTCTCTTGTCTGCCTAACCATCCCTGACAGGGTAAGCGCATAGAGGTAGGCTGCCTGTCGGCCGGGGGGCAAATTTAAACAAACGAGAGAAATAAAAGAGAGTTCTGGAGGAGAGGGGGGAAACTGACAGCTTCTGTGGAGGAGAGTAATTACAGTCCAGGGAGAAATTAACTCAGCCGGATGGAGGAGAGAAACAGGGACGGAATAAAAGAGGGGTATGCAAGACAATAGTTCAAGTTTTTACATCGAGATCAAGCATACCAACACTGTGAGAGAAATGGGTGAATTTGTGAAACACGTCCACATCACATTTCAGTCCATAATAAAAAGGAAATCTTTATATTTATGTACCATGCGATATTTTGCATTAATACATTATTTTCATTACAATTAGAGGAATAGTTCATGGGAAAATGATTAACTCTTTATTCCTGTCCATCCATTCATCCGATTTACATTTCAAATAAATGCTGTTCTTTTGAACTTTCTATTAATCAAAGAATCCTGAAAAAGTATACACTCACCTAAAGGATTATTAGGAACACCATACTAATACTGTGTTTGACCCCCTTTCGCCTTCAGAACTGCCTTAATTCTATATGGCATTGATTCAACAAGGTGTTGAAAGCATTCTTTAGAAATGTTTGCCCATATTGATAGGATAGCATCTTGCAGTTGATGGAGATTTGTGGGATGTAGATCCAGGGTACGAACCTCCTGTTCCACCACATCCCAAAGATGCTCTATTGGGTTGAGATCTGGTGACTGTGGGGGCCATTTCAATACAGTGAACTCATTGTCATGTTCAAGAAAACCAATTTGAAATGATTCAAGCTTTGTGACATGGTGCATTATCCTGCTGGAAGTAGCCATCAAATGATGGGTACAATGGTGGCCATAAAGGGATGGACATGGTCAGAAACAATGCTCAGGTAGGCCGTGGCATTTAAACAATGCCTGATTGGCACTAATGGGACCTTAATTGTGCCAAAAAAACACCCCCTCTCCATTACACCACCACCAGCCTGCACAGTGGTTACAAGGTATGATGCATCCATGTTCTCATTCTGTTTACGCCAAATTTTTCCTCTACCATATGAATGTCTCAACAAAAATCAAGACTCATCAGACCAGCAACTGTCCACTGGGGAGCTCTTGCAAATTGTAGCCTTTTTTCCTATTTGTAGTGGAGATGGTACCCGGTGGGGTCTTCTACTGTTGTAGCCCATCCGCCTCAAGGTTGTGTGTGTTGTGGCTTCACAAATGCTTTGCTGCATACCTCGGTTGTAACGAGTGGATATTTCAGTCAAAGTTGCTCTTCTATCAGCTTGAATCAGTCGGCCCATTCTCCTCTGACCTCTAGCATCAACAAGGCATTTTTGCCCACAGGACTGCCACATACTGGATGTTTTTCTCTTTTCACACCATTCTTTGTAAACCCTAGAAATGGTTGTGCATAAAAAACCCAGTAACTGAGCAGATTGTGAAATACTAAGACCAGCCCGTCTGGCATCAACAACCATGCCACACTCATGATTGCTTAAATCACCTTTCTTTCCCATTCTGAAATTCAGTTTGGAGTTCAGGAGATTGTCTTAACCAGGACCACACTCCTAAATGCATTGAAGCAACTGCCATGTGATTTGTTGATTAGATAATTGCATTAATGAGAAATTGAACAGGTGTTCCTCCTTTAAGTGAGTGTAAGTTTCCACAAAAATGTTAAGCAGCAGAACTGTTTTCAACGCTAATAAAAAATAAATGTGTCTTGAGCACCAAATCAGCATATTAGAATGATTTCGAAAAGATCACATGAAACTGAAATTCAGCTTTGCCGTCATTGTAATACATTTTCATATATTAAAGGTTCTCTATGTATTTTTTTCGCGGTCTCTATTACTTTTAAAATAGAAAAGTTATTTTACATTGTAATAATATTTCACAGTATTATTGGTTTAAAAAGCAGTATTGCTTTTAGCTATAGAATTTTAATGTATTTTGCGATTTACAGAATTTAGAAAATGTTATAATGTTATTTCATTAAGCAACTACTTATGATTCTTTTTATTTTGGGGTGAAATATGATGCCATTTTACTTGAATAATGAACGTTCATGTGTCTGAACTGCTAGTTCTGTTCTTTTCACTGATTTCTCTTCATTACTGGCAAGCTGAACAGTTACAGTGAACATAACATGGAGGTCGTGCATTTAAAATGAAGAGAGAGTGAGAGATGAAAGGCTGAGAAATGGCATTTCTGGTCTGGTTCATATGTCTGATATACCTCTGAAGCTAAATCAGCTTCAAGTTGAACTGCTCTCAGTAATTCAATTAATTTATAGCTAGGCTTATTTTTAGCATTTGTCATGCAAGTTTGTCCCCTTTTACGTTCTGTAAGTATTCCTTGAAAATCATTAATGTAGTGCAGTATAAGCTCTTAGCTCTTTGAAAAATTAGTCCCATTTCAATTAATATGAGTAATAACGGTTTATTGGAGAAAGGGTGGGGGGATTGTAGTGGGCCTTAGAGGCTGCTGATGGAGAGGGAATAATGCCCAACTCCCAATCATCATAATCCGCACCTAGATTCATTCTTCATCACCTCACCAGAATGTCTTTCCTAAACATCATACTCCTATGTCATTGGTAACCACAATGGGAAATGGGATTGCCGAGCTCTCACTGTCCACCATTCTGTGCACACATGTCTGGTGCTGCACATAGAAGGGTCTAATTGCGAGACAACATTGAGAAACTGGGATGCAATAGTTTTGGGATTTGGAAAGATTGGTTACATTTCATATTTACCGGAGTAATGTGCTGCTATTACACAAACTACTGGAGTTCATGCAGTCAATTTTGTTGAAGTTTTGACAACTTTGTTGAAGCATAAAAATGCTAAATTGAAGCATTTTCACTAGTAGTCTCAGACATTTGGACTTCTCAATATGTTATTGTGTGGAAGGTTTTACTGTTTTAAGTGATTGACAGATACTTTTGTTATTGTGTTTTCTCAACCATGAAATGTCCATTTAGTTGATGGAGGAATGGATTAATTTGTTTGTGAAGACCAACCATAAAAATTGTGATTTAAACGAAGTTCTGTCCCATATAACTTTAAATGTTGTCATTAAGTTTGACAGGTCTCCACAAATTTACTGAGAGCTGCTTCTGTCTCGCATGTCAGACCAACACTGCTGCATCTGAATGGTAGAGGCGGGTGTATATGAAACATTTTTATTACAGAGTGGAATATTAACAGTTGTCATGCTTCACAGTACATGGTTTAATTCAAGTCCTTGATGAAAAATAAATAAGAGTAACAATATTAATTGTGGCTCTTTAAAGAAGGCACTTAATTAAAACAGCTCCAGGCTCATTATCATTTTGTCTGGGAGCTCCACACCACAGTAGGCTACTTGTGTTTGGCTTTACAAATCATCAGTTGTTCAAACTACAAAGTGTGCTAATACGATAAGTTATCTCTGCTAATCTTGTGAAAAGCACTGAGACTCCAGGGATGGTTATGTGCCCATAAATTCTTGTTGCTGGCAGATTCAGGGCTTTTCCGCGGCCTCTAAAGCTCGTGGGAAATGTATGCCGGTCCCAGAGAAGTCTCGGTGGGGTCCAGGCTGACGTGAGGGAGCGAGTGGCTGTGTCCGTGAGTGCGTGAAAGCGAGTGGTAGCGCGTGGAGGACGGCACTGGAGATGTGCACTCTTGCTCCGTGGCTTGTTCCGAAACCGCACCTCGAGTCTGGTTTCCAGGTCCTGTGGTGGCTCCTGTTCCCTGCATCCCTCTACTGCCCTTTCTGTGCCTCTCCCAGGCAGAGCTCAGCTTTACTGCAAGAGCCAGCAGGTTTTTCCCCAGGAACACCGTGGACACCCGTGGGTCCCTGAACCACAGCATCCCCACCCCTCTGGGCACGAGCGTGAACACATTAATGGTCACCAGACTGAGCCACGGATAGATAGCCTCCTTTCGTGTCTCCTGCAGCCCAGGCAGCGCAGTGGCACCCAGCTCTGTGAGCGACACGCACGGCAGTAACAGCAACAGCACGTAACAGTAAAAGAATACTATACCCTCAACCCAAAGAGGAACCCCTACGCTGCCCTGCACCTCCCACAGCCCCGCTTGCAGATCCAACACATCAAGCAAGTCGACCACCACCCACAGAAGCCGGCTGCGCACCTCCTGCTTCCTACGAAGGGGAGTCATGTAATCGGCTCCTGTCAGGATGAGGAAAAGCGAGGGTAGGCACACCGAAAGTAAAAGAGTCAGAGTCTTGCGGGCAAGAGGATCCGGGGGTCGTCTCTCCTGTCTGTAATTCTGACACACAAAGAAAAGCTTCAGTTGCAGCAGCGAGAGGAAAAGGAACCAGAGAGCGTTGGCGAAGCCCCGACGGGGAGAGCGAGCCTCCGAAACCACACCGGCAGAAACAAAGCGGAGCGCCAGCAGGAAACACAGGTCACCGAGTGCGACGGCAACACAAGGCCATACTGCAGGACGGACTCCACTGCGAGGTCCCAGCATGCTCTGCTCCAGCAGGTAGAGGTCGACCACGGCCATCGTGCTCACTGTCACCAGAGTAGACACGCACACCTGGGGCGAGGGCAACATGCTTGAAGTAGAAGGAGAAACAAGGACATAGTCAGACTCTGATGGCTCATTAAGGAAAGAGATGAGGATGGTTTTAGAGGTTATCCTTCATTTCCTGATAAAGACATGAGCTGCATGATTATGTGCAATTACAAGACCTGGAATATACAGAGAAATGTGCAATTTCTGAGTGAATTAGCTGTAAATCTTCAAAGTCTTTGATGTACATGTTAGTAATTCTTTAAGGCAGAACAGTCCATTTTTATGGACTGGGAAAATTGCATGATTTTCTACAATGTTCTCCTCATTGTTTGGCTAAGTTTAAATGGGAGAGTTTTCTACTTTATTGTCGAAGGTAGTTCTGAATGTCTGTACCGAAGGTCTTTATTGACAAATGTAGTTTGCAATCCTTGGAGATTTTACAATTCATGGCATTTCAAAGGCTTGTTTGGTTTACAAAGCTGGTGACATTGAAGGGATTAGAAAGATGATGTTTGTGGCAGTGCTGAGTACAAGCTTTTGCTTGTTTGAGGCAGGGCTTGGTTGGCCTTTTTTCATTACTTCCAAAACAAGCACATCTTTCTGCTTTCAATCTAATGTGTTTTTCCCAATTAATGCCTTGAATATAATAGAATATGCCAAAATCTCTTTTTTGTATCTTTCTAAATCTAATTTCTTAACTAATGAAACTTTAAGTCCTTCGACTTTGGAAGTTTCCCAGTTATTTGCATAGCATTCATGACAACTCTTGTTCCCTTATATTCCAGGGAACCAAGGCACACTTTCAAAGCCTCTTTTCCTCGTGGCTAGCTTTCCATGCTGGTTTTGTCACATATTGCGGTATTTAATGGTCTTTGGTTTCAGTATGAAGCATGACATGATCAAGTCTGTTTCTCTGGCTCGTTTTCTTTGGCCTTTAAAGTGCATTGGCCACCTGCAAAATGGCGACAATCGATCTTAATACTGTCTGAAAGGTGTTGTCATAACACTGCATACTGATGTTGATTTTATTCATGTGTCCTCAAGCCATATTTCAGCAACAGACAGTGTAAAACTGTGGTATTGATTAATATAGAGAAATGATTGTGGGCTTTGTGGTGAAATCGAATGCAGGCCTTCTCAGCCGAATGAACTCAATGCCTGATGCACTATAGCTACTAACCATTTGTGTCTGAAGTGGAATGTCAAAATCTCAGATAGATTACTTTTTTAATAACAAAGTCATTACTGTTGAGGACATGCACAGGGGTGTCAACAGGGTTATGGAAATATAGGGTTTCAACATTTTGTTTTATTGGATTTTTCTTAAATGTTATAACTACATAAAATAAGTTTACACAAAAATGGTTTGGAATGGTACGAGGGAGAGTAAATGATGACAATTGTTTTGGGTGAACTATCCTATCACAACTCTTGCTACTTTTAAAGACCCATTAGGTATACATGTTGATACATGGGGAAAAAGTGTTAAATCGTGAGGTGAAATGGAAATTGAATGGGGTGAAAGAGGGACAGAGAGAGCAAGATATAGTGATTCATTCCCTTGGCTTTTTACAGACCTAATAAAGTGTTACGGCATGATGGTAATGGTTCATAAATAAGCTGAGGGAAATGAAGAAGGAAAGAGTGATGAGTATAACACAAAAAGCACAGACGACCTGCTCTGGGAGAAAGGAGATGTTGTGTTGATGAGAATGTGAATGGAAATATATTCACAGCTTGGGAACTGTAGAAATTAAATGCATTAAGTGTGCAAGAAAAGGAAGGGAGTATGTTGGTAAATGACCTAGAATGATTAATCTTCTGTGAGCTCGAATGAAAATAGAGTGTGCGTCACTAATATCTGATTTTGACTGCAGATCTTTTGTGTTTCTCTTACTGATTTTCTGCTTTGGAATTCAATTGAATCAAATAATCTCAGACTGAGTGTTGAATTTAGGAGAAGCCACATGCTCCTGAACAAAAATACACAGGACACAGCTTTCCTTTAAAAAAAAAAAAAAGATAGAAAATAGTTATTTTTGATGAAAAAGGAATTGAAACCCAGAAGGCATGCCTGCAGAGCTTATCTTTTGACTCCACTGTCAGCACATAATTCATTAGGTTATCAAGTCACTTGGATGATACTGTTTTGTTTTTTTGTTTTTTTCAAGGATGAAGACTAGACTTTAGTACTGACAGCCAGTGCATGCTTAAATTTAAGTAATCGCTTAAGGCCACAGGTTACAGTGCTTAATGTTATGCAGTTTTGCTTTGTACAAATGGTCTGCGCTTTTATTTATTTATGGTGCGATGTACAGACAATAAATTCTTGCTTTTTATAACTAAGTGATTTAGATTTTTTTATGTTAAAAAGCAATATTTGTCAATTTTCATATGTAATGTGTATTATATTGTGTTAATGATATAATCAAATTCAGTCATGGAATTGTGTAAAAGCAGAAATAAAACAGAATAATTTCTCCATATTTGTTATCACTTACATAAAAATAAAACCAATCGATCATTAATATTTACATGTGTAATTATTTGAACCTTCTGTTTTAAAGTGATGTCACCAAAAAAAAATATTTTTTAAATATTATAATAATATAATTTTTTTTTTTTTACAGAGACGTTTCTCAAAATATCTTCTTTTATGCTCTAAGAAAGAGCAAAAAAGTCACTGGAATGACAGGGTGAATAAATGATGATAATTGGGTGAACTATGTCATGTAATTAATTAAGTGATGTAATTAAGTAGCCTAATGTAATGTAAGACAATATAAGGAGAAATGTAAAAGCTTCTCATAATTAACACTCTAAAGTGATGGTCTAGGTTAAATATAGTGTGATGAATATTGTAAATGTTTAATTACTGTGTGCAAGTGCCCATAATCGCGTCTACCTCTCATTCTTGGAGATGCTCTCTGTTGGACTCGTGCCACATGGCCTCATTTACGAGTAAACGACTGAAAATGTACTTCGGTAATGTGCCATTGAATCATTCCCACACAGAGAATATCATCACAGTGAGAGTATCAGTTCGCGAAATAAATGGCATCATCTGCCTTGATGCTTGCAATTGTCGAGCTGCTGCTGGCTACTGCAGCACACGTGTGATCATCAGACCTGTGCCTCTTCAATATATCACCATATCGCGACAGGTGTCATTGCATTAGGATACACTCCGAATTAGCAATTAATCTCATCATTGAGCTCAGTCAGCAGAGGAACGGTGACATCTAAAATTTTGAACTTTTTGGACTTGAAGGCTGCATGAATAATTGAATATCAAGTTGCAAGACAGCTCAACTTCATGTAACGTTAAGCATGGAAGGAATGGATGAAGTAGATAGTGTATTTACCCCACAGCATGAAGACTTCACAGAGCAGTCTCAATCTAATGACCAGCAAAAACCTGCAGGCATCAAGACGATATTGTCTGAATCCAGTGTCCGAAATCGCGCAGTAGCCTAATTACACTGTACTGCTTCTCAACAAAACTAAACGTGGAAAATAATCCAGAGAAGTCAACCACGTCACGCTCAAAAGCTACATTGTCCATAGTATAAGCCCCGACGTGTAGTTTATTCGGGCGAAGTGATGAGGAAAGCAAGCCTTTCTGCCTCCTGACTTTCTTTGTCGCAAAACCCTTATATAATCGGCATGGGGTCTATTCCGTTATCACGACTCGAGCAGGCTCCTTCCCGCTCCATAAAGACTCTCAGGCGGCTGCGATGAAGCTTTTTGCGGGCTGAGCAGTAGAAGTCGGTCAGAAGTGCGTTACTAACTGCTGACTCTGTAACTGAAGCCGTTTTTCCGAGTACCTCGATGTCGTCTTCATACTTCACTAACGAAAGGGCGCGAAACAACGCGTCGCGAGACAGTTTATGATTGCAGTGTGTCATTTGTAGGCAGCTTACGTGCACCAAGTTGCACCCCTCCCTCCGAGCGCTCTCCAACTCAATGCTTAGTTGCTTCTCTTTGAGCCTCTTGGATTTCACTTCAGATAGCGGGCGGGGATATTTGAATGGCTTCGTGCATATTGCGAGTCACCATCCGGATGGGTCCGTGCTGCTAATTACTGCTGCTAGTGCAATCATTGCAATGATAATTATATTGTTCTAGCCTGGAGGAGAAAACAACACCCCCGTCCCTGCTGTTTGTTAGTGACGAATGATTGTGTGTTGTGAGATGAACTAGAAGGCGCTTTCAGATTGGTTATGTGATTTTCATGCAATTACTTTATTTTATTATCTTTTAAATCTAGAATAACTAATTGCAAGGACAGTCCTATGGGTTAAATGCCTGACTGAAGACAGGTGTTCATGGATTGCATTGCAAATGAGCTGCAGTCTAGGGATGAATAAGTCTAAATTTGAAACATGTAGCCTATATATATATATATATATATATATATATATATATATATATATATGAATGAAGAGTTCAGATGTCAGATGCAAAAGCCTCTAAATGCCATTTGAAATTTTCTTCTTTAATGATGATTTTTATCAAACTTGTTTATTTAAGTTCAGTAATTTCACTTAAATAACAATTAATAGGTAATTATCATCACCATTTAAGTGAAATTACTGAACTTAAATATACAAGTTTGATAAAAATCATCATTAAAGAAGAAAATTTCAAATGGCATTTAGAGGCTTTTGCATCTGAACTCTTCATATATATATATATATGAATGTAGGGTACTTTTATATCAGTGTAAAAGCTGATTTAATAAATAAATAAAAGCTTATTTATTTTTTGGTCACAAAGACCTACAGTATACTCCCATGCTATGTAGCCTAGTTAGCATTGTCAATTGAGTCCCTTTAAAATGAGCAAAACGTTGTCTGTTCCTGCCTGAGAAATTAACATTTCTCCCATAGGGTGTCGATGCTTATGTTTTAAGATTTTTTTAAAAAAATGTCAGTTTCCTGTCTGTCTTTATGGGTGTCCACCCACGCCTAGAAATGTTTAACTTTTTTGAGACTTAAGGGGCCAATTTTGTAAGTATTTGTTCCCTGAGACATTGATCTGTTTGGTCCTGATGAACAGGTTTTTCAATGTGTCTGGCAATTCCAGTGAGCCAAACAATCACAATTGTTGACATACACCTAAACATGGCTTCCTAAATAAGACATTTGTTAGAAATTATTAATAAAATTATGAAAAAAAATATGAAAAGCTTAAAAATGAAACAATCTGTGAACATAATGTCCGATATAACAACAGTGCTGTCTGATTTGACATGCACTGATTCCATTGGAAAACAATACACATCAGTCTATTTTAATTATGTAGAATAAGGAGGAAACTTATTAATACGTTTGAGGTGCTCTTGCATGATCAGAGCACCAGTATAACTGGAGATTGAGCTAAATCTAATTATCTGTTAATTTTTTTTCCACAACTGCTCTGACTGGGCAGTTTCCACTCTCTTTATTGAAATGAAAGGTTGTATCTTTTCTTCACAATGTGCACCTCATCTATCTCTTCATGGTGAGGGGTCATCTTGGAGTTTTAATCAGCCAGATGGGAAAGAAAGGCATAGAAGCCAAATTCATCTTTCTTGTCACAGTTTGCTATACGCACCACTGGTTTCCAGACATTTTCCATTCCTTGCCTTCAAGATTTTTTTCGCCTTTGTTAGCTCCACCCCCTACTCCACTCTATCTCTCCATCTCTATCGCCTCCTCTCTCGCTCGCTCACTCCCACAGTCCCTGTGGGGCTGAAGTGGTTGAAGGTCACTCTGATCTGGCTAGATTTCAGCACGGAGGGAGTGAGAGAGGCGGAGAAAACAAGACAACAGAAGTCCAGCAGTGCACAGTCAACACTTTCGCCCCCATAAAGTTGGTAAAGACTTCGAAAAATGCCTTTTGGAAGTGTTGCGGGCCTGATTGGTGCCCCAGGTGTGCACTGGCAGAAGCTTGTCCCAAGACATTCCTCACTGCATCCATCTGCTACGCATTAGAGCACTTAGCTGACACCACACATGCTCCAGCCACAGCAAAACAATCTGTCTTACTGACTGGAAGATTCTCGCAATGAGCGCACAAGCTAGTGCTGTTTTTGATCAATCCGCACATTAACTTTCTGCTTTTATGTCTGGAACTTAAAATAGCTACAAATCTTACTATTAAAACAAACCCTGGCGAACTGATAATGATATTCGGTTAATTATCAGTCTGCCTTATTAACTAACTGGGATGTTGCAGAGCTCTGATAAGATGCGATGTAATTCTCTGAAGAGTGGGTCTGAGGAATTGAGCTCTCCTTCAATAACATACGTTTAATGAAATCTTTTCACACTCGCTGATTTCCATCAGACTTTGGACATTGGCACAGATATGGCTCTCTCAAAGCATTTATTGTCCTTTTTAAATTTTTCTATGCCTCATGCTGTGTCTCAGACCTTCACCCTGCATTTTATTATCTGTAAATAAATGTGTTCTGCTTTAATTAACTGATTTCAAGTCAACAATCCGCCATATTCAAGGACAGAGTGGTTCACCAGCGCGGCGGCACACTCATTTAGAGGCACAACATGTTATTTTTGCTTCCAACTGAAGTATGTATATAGCTATCAATATTGGCTGTAAAACTGCACCGTAAAAATTGACCCGAAAATAATGTGTCCCCAGTAGCACGTCTTGCCCTGTAGCATTCGCTTTGAACACATTAATCATCACTGCATATACTTAAAAAAGAGAGTGATGTGTTTTTAAATGTGAGTGAAATTACAGGGGAATTTGGGATGATCAAAGATAAAGCCATTCTGACAAACTTTTATGTTAGCGTTCCACAATGTCTGATGCAAACATTCTGTGATCGCTCGTGGCTCAAACAAATGGCTAATAATTCTCTGTGCACCCACAAAAATAGGACCCTTCCCTGTACTAGGCCTTGTCCATTCCTCTTCTGAAGTCTCCAACTACCAGACCGGCCAAAGCGGTTGGAGGGTATGAGGCTAATCAGCTGTATGACGCCCTTATGGTGGAGGAACGTAATAAAATGGGAAGAGTTCAGCGCATTAAATTAAGGAAGGGGAACTGGAGTAATTAATTAGAGTGTCTCACACTGCAGAGTTTAATTAACCCCTCGTCTACACCTCCCACCTCACCCCCATCCTTCAGGACGCTGGCATGGGCAATGAATTGCCCGTCCTTGGGTGCCAGGGGCGATTTATCCTGCCTGCTGCCCCGCAAGGCCACGTGTCCTGTCATGCTTGTGTACACACACCGTTTTTTACACTTCTGTTTCACTCACTGTTACATATCAGTTCACACAAGGAAAGAACATGCTGTCCCATGTCCTCTAAATCTTACACTGAGAGAGTCGTCTGAAAGAAACTGCTGTTACGGTCTCTCGCTCGCTTTAATTCTTCATCTCGTTCTTTCTCCATTTTACTCTTTATACCCTTTTGTTTTGTATTGTCTGTGATGTAGAAGGATAGTCCAACCAACAATAATAATTCATTCATCATTCTGTCATCTGCGCACTATCATGTTGTTCTGGTTCTGAACCTGTATGACTTTCTTACATCAAACACAAAAGAAAAATTCTCAGTACAATTTTGTGACACAAAACTATCTGAAGACTGCATGAGAACGTAGAATATAACGCACAAATGTTTATATAAGTTTAACAGCTTAAATACAATAAAATATGGCCAGGTTTCACAGACAGCGCTAAGATTAAGCCATTGGAATGGCAGTGAGATATTTTGAGATATGTCAGAGCAAGTTGCTTTGAGTTAAAACAGCTCAAACATGCGTTTTAGTCCAGTACTTGGATTAAGCCTTTTCTGTGAAACTAAATAAATAATATGAACTACGTAAAAAAGTGAAAATTAGAAGTGTTTCTTTGGCAATTAACTGAAATAAAATAAGTTGAAGCACTATGTTTACTAAAACTAAAATTGAGATAATTGTAAAGCCAAGTGAATATATATATATATATATATATATATATATATATATTATAATAAACAACTAAACAAATGTACAAATAAAAGCTAATTCGAAATCTCAATAAATACTATAATACTATACTATGATTTAATGATACTTTTATATGGTGCTTTTGTGTGATTTTTGAAGCTTGAAACCTTCAGCTCCTTTTAATGCTGTATGGAAAAAAACATGGAAAACTTATTATGTGTTTTATAGATTTCACCAAAGTCACACAATGACATTTAGAATGACATAAGGGTGAATAAAGATTTAAATTATGGCACAATTAAACATTGGTGCTCTAATAAGTGCCTCATTTTGTTGTAATTTATTTTTTATATATCAGTCCCCATCACTGGAGGTCTTTTGTCCAACATCTTCTATCCTCTTAACTGACCCATTCAATGTTCTGTTCCTTATGAAGTGTTAACAATTTTAATTTGCTTAATTCCTTATTCATGCATTTAATTACACAGGTTTTCACTTAGTTGGAAGTCACACTGTCCTCTAATGCCATCTCCTCAGAGGCTTTGCAGTGAAGTGATTGAACCACTTGAACCCACCACTGCTTCTTTCCCTTTTGCTTTTTTCTAATGGAATGAGCTCACAGCCCTCACACATACATTCTTTATTCATGCCGGTCCCCTATGGCTTCTCCATACATCAGAAGCCTTTCACCCGCTTTTGTCAAATGGATCTCCTGAATGTTAGAATTGATCTTCATTATTGTTCTCATAGGGGACATGACTTGAACAGAACACTGTTCTTCTGTGTCCTGCAAATATAAACGCATGTGTGCAGTATTATTAGAAGCACTTAAGTATGTGGCCCTTCAAGCTGTTACTTCAGCTATCTGAAACAACGGTAACTTTCCCGGTCTGTTCTCACTCTTTTTGTCATTCATCCATGTCTACGGCCATCTCGTTAAAAAGAATTGCTGAAGCTGAAAGCTTAATAATGAACCAAATGCAAAGTGGGATAACAGATGAAAAGAATGGAAAAAGGAAATGTTTTGTGAATCACAAATGCAGTCGGATGCAGATACAATGCACAACATATATTAGATGGGGTTTTTAGTCTGGTTAAGTCATTCAGTCTTTTAGAGTTACTTTCTTACACAATTCAGGCAGGATTTGTCTTCCGTCGGGACCTTCACTGTGAATGGCTGCTTTATCCTAGAGAATATTGATATGATAAACACTTAATATTCATCTGATATAAATATAGTGCAGTGTCCAAGGTTGGTAGCACGCCCCATCAAGGTGATGTACTGCCACCATTTTGTTCTTCGCAGACCTTATCAGACACTGTTGAAGAAGGAGGAGGTTTAATTGGACCGCTTCAATTCTGGATGATTAGATCTTCGGTTTTAGAGAGCTAGACTGGCAATTTGGCCAGCACTTGAAAGGGAATGTATCTGCCATTAAACGCAAAGCGTCTTGGTCATCCGGAGCTTTATTCCGTAAAGATTGCCAGAGCAATCTTCATCTTCGAGCCTTGTCCTTTCAACCAACAACAGATTTCCATTTTTATAATGGCCTCTTATGATATTAAAAACGCTACGTAAAACGCAATTGCTACAGTCTCTTCCATTTGTATCTTTTTTTGGCACAGTTTGAATGACGTGTGATGGAAGTATACAGACATACTGATCAGACACACATTTCATCCTTGTTGCCTTCCTGCCACCCCCCCCCCTCCCCCCATCATCGTACGACCTCTTCCTCTCAGATCTGTCTGACATCCTGTTTGAACTCCCTTTCAGACCAAAAACAAAGACTTTAAAGGGAGTTATAAAGCAGTAGGTGCAAAAACCGGAGTGGAAGCGGTGTGGAGTAAGTGTATTCACAGCAAGGGTTTTTGAGGCTCTCCTAACAACCTCGGTTTAATATTAATCCATATTTAATTAGGAGTCACCCACCGCTTTTCTTGTTCACTAAGACGTGTTCTCGTTGAAGTTGGGCAGGCTTGAGGAGATGCTTGTGGGGTTGACATGGGATTACTATTAATAAGCAAGTCAGGAGGGAGATAGGGTGCCTGCCATTCAGCGCTTTTGTTTTTCATTTCATTTGTGATCAAATTGAAATTGCTGAACGGTAATACCTCTGGAATTGTTGGGGAAATATTTGCTGTTCCCGCATGGCAGTGTTTGCTTTAACTAATCTGAAAAGATTGCATCAGTATTTATAAGTTAGGATCAAACAATGATAACTAAAGTAAGTCCTTTGCAAATATACTTTATGCCAAAAAGTGCTGTTTATCTTGGCCTGTATATCACATATGGGAGGTAAGGTAACTTCGACTTTCGCAACTTCGAGCTCACTTTGACCAAGAATGAAAGGTCTGACTGATATTTTTTAATGTCACCAAACTTTTAATTTTATTTTAACATGCTGTTTGAGTCAGTTTTGTTTATCTGAAATAATTGGCATGGTTGTGCAAAATTCAGAATTCTATTTCACTTTATCTGTTTATAAGCTTTTCTTAGTTAAAAATTCCAGTTATGATTTTATTTGAATTTCAATTCATTTGATTTCTGAATGCCACACAGCCCTGGTTGATACCCCAATGGGCTCTATGCACGGAGGTATTTCCGGTGAAGGTGTAAGGATGCTCGATAACTTCCGCCGATCGTAGAGTCCAATGCAAAACCAAGAATTTATATTGAATTTTATACTCCATGGTTATACTAAAGAAACGTTAGTCACAAAAACAGATAAGACAGACACCCCTCGTTGTGTTTATGCTTCTTTTTAAAATTATATTAAATAAACATAACTATATGTCAAATTACATCTAAACGTATGTACGTTTCGTTTCAAAGACAGGAGGACAGTAAATTTTGAAGACTCTTCCATAATCCCGTTTTCCTCCGCTTTAATCTCCACAACTGGAAATGGACGAGCATCCTTGCGTCAAATGCGGAACTTATGTGTGCATATAGCACATAGAAGAATGTAAAAATATATATATATATTTTTAGTAGGTGCTTCAAACAAAAAAACTGATGCCACTTACCAGTTTTGGGCATTTTTAGGGCAAGATCCATGGCTTTGGTGTCTAGTTATAACCAGTCTGATAATTGCAATAGCAGCCTTTCCTAAAAGATCAGAGTCTGACTGTTAAATACAACTCTGTAACATCTACCTCAATATGAAACAAGTGCACCAGTCACTGTGGATCCTTTGAAAAGTTCAAGTGCAAGGAAAACTTTTACAACTGTAATAAGATTACAGATTAGCAGTCGTCTCTGCAGTCAACCCACAGAAAACACTCATGCTCTGGTGAAGCCGCTCAGGAGAAATGGCAGCCAGTGTTGACTTAATGTCAGCTATACATTTAGCTTTCTGCCTGGCAAGGGCCAGGAAAGAGAATCTAATTTATCTGGAGTCTCAGAGGCATGATGACTGCCATACACTGACATTACACACACGCACACACATATACTCACACCCTTGGGTAAATAGGCTTCCACCAGCCCCTCTCGTTCACTTTCTCACTCACTCACGCAGGCATCCAAGCATGCCGAGGCATTCACAGTGCACCAATGAGTTATCGAATGATTGACACCAGGCAGCCACTCTAAATGGATATTGGTATTCATCAAAAGACTGCCACGATGAATAACAGGCTGAAATGTGTGTGGTTCTAAACCTTTCTGAATGTTTTTCCTATGCCTTCTTTTCCAGAAAGGGATTCCCATAGGGTCTTTCTGCAAAGACTTCAATGAGAAAACCAAAGACCTGAAAGAAGGCATCCCTCTTCCCATCAAGATCAATGTGAAGGTAATGTAACCACTAATTAGGAGTACTGTTGTCGTTTTCTCAATGTCAGCACCACTTTACCAATCAGTCACAGATGTGACATCTTGGGGGCCTCATAACACACCTTATTGCTTTCAATCAATCTTGCTCTCGTTTGTTTTGCCGCTTGTTTTCTCGGTTTATGAGTCCCCGGGGGTGCTCGTTTACATTCGCATCTCAGACGCATTAGCAAACAGCATTAGATGCTTCTCGAATGCCAAAGCGCGGATTAGGCCTTCTACTGACATTATGATCAAATGAAGGTATTGAGCGAAGTGGATTAAACAGATGAACAGAGCTTTCCCAATCTGAGCGTGACTTGTAAACGAGGAATAGTCACTGATGCGGCGTATGCAATGTTCGTCTGGCCTAGGTTTATCTCCCCACTCACCTTTTCAGGGAGCTTCAGCACGTTTATTATGATGTTTTGTCAAGGACACACTTTCCATCATTGAAGTCAAAGACCGTGAATGTACTCGAACTCAAAGTTTCTTGGAGAAATTGGGCCGTCTGATGGATCCTTCACTTTAGTGCATTAGCAGCTTTTTTTTCCCTGACACATTTTAGTCTTTGTTTCCCTCGTATAATCTTTCTGTCTTTTCTAATCTATTCTCACCCATTTTTCACCCGCCCTCTGTAACAAAATGAGCGGTCTAGCACTTTCTCCTCATATTCTCGGTCTCTTAAATAAAGATGGATTGAAGGCTGTTAGTAATGCTTGCCGAGTCGGCGACAAAGCGCAGGGGAATTTGAGCAAAGGCCCATTTATAAAGGTTGTGAGAAATGGCTTTTTATTACGGAGGGGTCATTGATCTCAACTTTTAAAGTGGCCCGACTGTGTGAAATTAGTTCACATTACAGGTTTCTATCTCTTTTATATTAAAGAACTGTTGAAAACTAAGTTGTGTCTAAGCCATATGGGAGATGCCATTGCAGTCCAGACGGCGGTGCAGACATTGTGAGGAAATTATATGACCACATTATGCTCCGGCACTGCCACCCAACCCAGTCTAGGGTGTTTTAATATCTCATGTCTAATGCGCTGTCTCAGTCAGAATCCAAACACATAATCTTTTCTTCTGGGATGATTAAGTTGGTCTCCGTTGTCCACTTCTGCCACAGTTTGAATCTAGAGGCTTCATAAAGTAGAACTAGACATCTTCTGCAACAATGTCACCTTCATCTAGCTCATCCCTTTGTGTTGTCCTGTCAGCTGTGCTTGCCCGAGGGTAGGAATTGTCAGGCTTTGTTGTTGTTGCTCCTCTGCAGGTACATCAGCTCTCGTTCCAGGACCAGCTGCAAGAAATTTTCAGAGGGAGAGAGAGGAAAATGTGCACCTCCGTGCTGTTGCCATTCATCATTGGTTCTTTGAATACACATGCAACGGCTCACTGTGATTTGACTTGCTGACATGATTGTTTCTCATCTTTTTTACAATGATAATAAATAAGGTCCAATTCTTACTATTAAGTAGTTGCTTATTGGCATGCATATTATCAGGATATTAGCCTTTGATTAGGACATAAAGCAAGCACATATTAATGTCTTATTCTGCATGACCATATTCTACATCCCTTAATCCTACCTAATACCTAAACTTAAAAACTTTTGGGTGTGGTGTGTGGTTGCTAAGGTGCTCTCAGCAGTGGTTGCTTGTGTTATGACTCGGTTGTTGTTGCGGTTCTGGTTGTTGTTGTTTTTCTTTGGTTTTTGTAGGTCTTATTAGTGACTGGGGCATGACTTAAGCACACCTGAATCTCGTCATGGCACCTTATTTAAACAACGTGCAGTTGTTAGTTGGGGCCGTTTTACCAGACCTGCGCTCCAGTTGTGAGAATATTGTTTTGCATCCATGCATTCGTTCCCACGACTAATCAACATTTGATACTGTCATCTCACCTAATGTCGCATCGGATTCAGGTGTGACATTTGGGTGTTCAGGGTGGAACTATGCGCCAATGACTAAACACTTAATATGCAATGCATGCTCATGACGTCACCATTTTCCACAAATTCACATTTTTGTAGTTTACACCGAGACAACAATGGTATTGTTTTCAAAAACTTTGAAATCTGTTTTCAACAATTTGCATTTCAGACCCCCAAAACACCATTTTAAGAAATACAATAGTGATAAAGAAAAGAGTCAATCATACAGAAAAATTACCCAAAAAATGAATATACTCTTTTTATCTGCAGTATTTATGATGGAGGAACAGGTCCCCTCAAAATGAAAATTGTCATAATTCACTCACCCTCATTGGTTCCAAAAGTGTTTGACTGTTTGACCGAGTCAGTATGAGTCATGTGCTATAATGAATTTCATTGTATATTTTATTGTAAAAGAGTAGTTTGTACATTTCTGCTATAAATATCCTCTTTGGTATTCTACGGTCAGATTCTGGTTTCTAAAGACATGAGGTTTAGTAAATTATGATAGAATGTTTATATATTGGGTGAACTATCCCTTTAAGACATCCCTCCATTGCCAAACAAAGGGAAATGTATTTTTATAATTCATTCTTTGAGTCCTACAGGCAGATTAGGCCCTAAAGCTTAGAGTCCTCTCACTATACTGATGAGCATTCGACAGGGATTGAAGATTAGCCTGAGCTACGTGATCTTTAGCTGCAGGGGGTGTGGGCAAATTCTGGTTGAGTTGCAGCTTGCTTTAGGCTTGAGCCGGATGGCTGCAATGCATTTTAGCCAGGCTGTCTCCCCAAGTCAGACTGCCTGTGAAGTCCCAGTTGTCCCATTAAGCTGTCTGCTGCACACTCATTGTTTTTGAGCCTCTCTATGCAGACTAATCCCTGCCTTAAAGCATTGGTTTTGGCAGGCCTGACAGTCGAGGGTGTGTGCCGGGGGAATGGAGGGTGTGGATGCATGCGCCTGGCTTCACTCGACTCGACTTTGAGTTTATGAGAGGCTGTCAGAGTCTATGGATGACAATGAGATTCTGTCAGGCTCCAGAGACTCTATTGGATGCTATAGGATTTTAGCTCTTCTCGCACTCGAACAGAATAGTGTTTATGATACCACCCGCTATGTGCGATGAGACTGAGAGACTGAGACCGATAGCTTGATGCCCACAAACCCAAAAACGAACATAAAATTTCATTCCCACAGTCTCAATAGATAATCATCAAAAATATAAATTCATCACACAATCCATAATGTTTTAGAATAACTGCAGTAGATAAGGGGGTTCTCAAATAGTGTAAGCTTTTATTCTAATGTGTTTTTATGTGAATTTATTTTACCTTTATTTAGATTCTGTTCAAACAACATGGCTTTTATTCACATTTCCATCTTTTGATGGAAATCAAGGATTCTTTTTTGTTGTTTTTGAGGGATCAGCAGTTGCAGTCCTGGTTCACTTAGTGCCTTAGGCAAAATATGACACCAATGGGGAAAAAACACTTCTTAAAGGGATACTCCACTTTTTTGGAAATAGGCTCATTTTACAACTCCCCCAGAGTTAAACAGTTGAGTTTTACCGTTTTCGAATCCATTCAGCCAATTTTTTTTATATATATATTTAGAAGAATATCAGTAACCAGACAGTTTCTGGTCTCATTGACTTCCATAGTATGATATAGTAAAATGAGCCTATTTCCAAAAAAAAAAAAAAAAGTGGAGTATCCCTTTAATGACTTTTAGTGATTCTTTATATATGTAACATACTAAACAAACTTGCCACTGAATTTGACAGCCAGGGATCACCGTGCATTTTAGTTGTATAGAAACCAGCAGAATTTTCTCGGGCAATTAAATTGATTGATTTGCCTTATTTATGCAATGTATTCGCATCAGATAATTTATTCAGTATCATATTGTTCCTTATTTATTTGAATTTATTTGTATGTGTTGTCTTATTTTCTTTATGCTCTGTGAATTTTATTACATCTCATATATGCATGTATACTTTTAAGTACACATAAAGTCTGTTTAAAAGTCTGATGTAAAATTGTGCTGACATTTTGATAATTCATTTAGTATTCTGAAAAGGAAAGTCATTTAAGTGACATGAGTGAAGGTGGGGAATTTAAGCAAAGTTTAATGGAAATTCAAAGCAAATAATCTGCAGCATTTACAACTCAAAGGCCGTACCGAGAAATTTCGGTCTTTTTTTTTTTTTTTTGCTTTAATTAGGCAAAAGCACATTAAAATGATCAAATGGTGACAGTAAAGATATTCATATTAGAAAAGATGTCTATTTCAACTAACTGCTATTCTATTAAACAATTTTAACACTGTCAATATTTTCTTTTCTTTTTTTCAACTGGCTCTGAAATTGAGGAACCTGGGTCATTTTGAATGGGCATGACATTTCTGAGCTTACCCCTCTTTTCTTCCCTCAGTCGGACAGGACGTATGACTTGAAAATTGGGAAGCCCACTGTATCTTACTTCTTGAAACAGGCCGCCGGCATTGACAAAGGAGCTGGAAAGACTGGTAAGCGAACCCTATTACGAGCAGGGCAGCTGAGGCAATACATCCTTACTTCCATCTCTCAGCAGTCTATTTGTATATCTTGCCACTGCCTTATGTTTCAGTAATGGACAGACTCCCCCCTGCGGGGTGTTTTGGTTCAGATTGAATTTTTTGACTGATGATATATTGATGATGAGTAGCACTAGAAGGGAGCCGTGCAATTACTGAGGGGAACTCTGTGGTGAAGGTGGCATTTTAAAAAAAGGAGAATTATGGATTTGCCCCATTTTCATATATACCACTCCACCTCAATTATTCTTTCGTATACGCCCGCTCTTTCCCTCCCCCTCTTTCTGTTACCTCTCACCTTCACTCCATCCCCACTTCCGATTTGCTCAATCATGACCAACCACACCTCCTGCTGGTTTCTCTTTCTGTGCTGCTGTGTTTCATCCCCTCTCTTTCTCCTCCCGTCTCGTCCCTTCACTTTCCTGTATCTTTTAGGGCATGAGATCGCTGGTATGGTGACTGTGAGGGCGGTATATGAGATTGCACAAGTCAAATCGCAGGATGACAGTTTTAAGCTGCAGGACACCTCTATGCAGAACGTTGTCAAGAGCATCATCGGTTCCGCCAGATCCCTCGGCATCAAAATCGTCAATGAGTGAGAGTCCTTCAAACTTCATTCTACCACATTATTTACAACATACAATTCCAGCAGGGAAATGTTTGGATACACTTATTTTCCATTTTACAACAATAGTAATATCTTCAAAGCTAGAGAATAGCAGAAGTGGATGTTATGTTATGACCAAAGACATTAAAACAAATACGACTATTCAAATACTACGAATCAAATGTTTGGGGACAGTAATGTTTTTTCTGTTTTTATGACAGTAATGGTTTCCTCAAGAATATTAAGCAGCACAACTGTTTTTAACATTGATGATAATGGGAAATGTTTCTTGAGCCGCAAATCAGATCACGTGACACTGAAGACTAGAGTGATTATTCTGAAAATTCAGCTTTTATCACAGGGATTTTAAAACATGTATTTAAAATTTGAATAATATTTTACAATATTACTGTATTTTGATCAAATAATTGCAGCCTTGTTGAGCATAAGAGACTTTCTGCAAAACTCACCAATACCCAGACTATTGAATGGTAGTGTAAATAATTAAAAATTGAGTTTTATGAGGACATTTAATCATTTATATACAGAGCAATGCTTTCTTCATGTCTGGTCTCTAACACTGAGGTTTAAACATCCATCTTTTCCTTGTATAAATATTTCAGACATCCCACCACCTAGTAAAGACCTTAATAAGAGATGTGAATAAGTAATGGCTAAAGAAATCTTACTTCACACTCGCCAATTACTTTCTTGTGCTCATTTATGCCATTTCTCATGGTTGAGAATTGAACTTGATTTGCAGGCTTTTAAAAATGAATCATAAAATTCATGTTATGTATAATTAATGCTTTAATAACACTGAGAAATTGGGATGGGATGCTGCTAGCTTAATTATTGACACTATTCATTTGAGAAGTATTTGCTTGACACCTACCAGAGCTTTTTCCATCCTGAGTCTCTGCGACGTCAAATGTCATTGCACCATTGAAATCTGGTGACATTTTGACAGCCTGTTCTCTTAGCAGAGTCTGGTCTTTTTCGTAAACCAAAGCTCTTTAATAAATGAGCCATGTCACCTAGGTGCAAATGCTCAGACCCGTCATTATACTTGAAGGAAGAGCAAAGCTCGCCTTGCATTTCAATCGATCGCTAGAAATGTTTGAAATTCTAATGTAATGTATTTGTTGATATGCCTCTAATCTCCGTCTTCTCTGTCCTTCTCTTCTGTCAGCATGTCACCGCAGGAGTACGGGGAGTTCCTCCGACAGCGTGAGGAGAGACTGAAGGCAGAAGCGGAGGCAGCCGCTGCGGAGGCTGCAGTAGTAAAGAAGAAATGAAGAGCTGCTGTGTGCTAGCTCTCATTACAAAACCCCCATTCACACGATTCGTCCCACTATTCAGGATGTTTTTCTAATAAAATGCTGCTGTTTTGCATCCAAAAATATTGAAGTGTATTTTTTTTTTCTCAGTATCTGTCGTTGTTGACTCTATCCAGACTCCTGCCTTTTTTCTACCTCCCCCTCTTGCTCATTTCTTTTCTCTGCCTCCTAAATCCCCTTTTTCAGGTCTGAGCCACTTTCACCTACTCCTTCACTCACCTTCCGTCTCTTTTAGCCATATCTGGGTAATAATTCAGGGTTTTTTATAACTGCTGTGTCTGTGACATCTGTGGAAGTAGATTGCTCTTTGGCAACTGGGTGAAACTTGGGTTGACATGCAAATGTCAAAGCAGAACATGTTTAGTACTTATTTTAAGCACCCAAACTGGTAGAAAAGTTTGTCTCAATGCATTTGCTTTATTTTATAATGTTTATCTTGCATAACTGATAATATGTTCTCTGGGTTATGTAATCAGATTCCAAAAATTAAATACTTGTAAGTAGATTATATTACGTTTTACAATACTCAGACTTTTTTTACTTAATATTCACAAAATGGCAGCAAACAATTTATGATTAACGGATTCTCTCTTATTCTTTTTCATTTTTTAAAAAGTCTAATACTTATACAGCACCTGCTTGAAAAGTTTGGAAACATTAAAAATGTTTAATTTTTTTTTTTTTTTTAAAGGAATTGTCTTATGCTCACCAAGGCTGCATTTATGTAATCAAAAAACAGTAATATTGTGAAATATTAGTAAAAATTAAAATAATTGTTTTCTGTTTTAATGCATTAAATACAGTAATATTGTAAAATATAATACAAATTTTAAATGCATGTTTTCTATTTTAATCTATATTCAAATTTAATTTATTTCTGTGATGTTAAAATGGAATTGTCAGTATCATTACTCCAGTCTTCAGTGTCACATGATCCTTCAGAAATCATTCCACACACATATTAAGCCGCACTACTGTTATTAACGATGTCATTGATGGAAAAAAAGCACTATATAAATAAATGTGACTATTGGGATAGAGCTTGGGAGAGAAACCTTGAAGCACTAGACTGTGCAGGCAAATAGAAAATGTGTAATGGATGGTAATTTGGTCCATAATGGACTAGCCCGGCACTGACCCATTGAACAGTGAGAGAGTTCATAATCACCGTCAAATCACTTTCCTCAAAGTCAAGCGCATTTGTGATTGTTTTCCAGAACGTTTGTCTAAAGAGAGTGAAGGGCAGAGATTTTTTTCCCCTTTTCAAATATCACAATAGACCATTTGGCTCTCTCTTCGATTTGAATGAGATTGCGGTGTCTGCACTCTATCTAGGCTTCAGTGACAGAGTGTTCTCCATTTCGCTGACTGCAATTTCACAAGAACACAAGCATAAGAGACAATTACATGAAGAGGATGTTATTTCACGTGGCATCATGGTCACCCCCCCCCCCTTCCCTCCCACCCATCATTCCCCTTGATATTCATATAGAATGGGACACAAGGAATCAGAATCTATATCTTATGCATTAGATGAAGGTTGTCAAAGTGCAGAATCTCAAAAGAGCCCTGAAGGGATTTGGAGGCAAGAGTCTTTTTCAGACACGGTCTTGTGGTCATATGAGATCCGCAGTGCGTTTTTGCTTTACAAATGAGATTTGCTGTTACGTAAGCCAACCCTTCTTCATTATTGTAGCCTACACCTGTAGTGAACCCCACACTTACGGTACCTCGTGAATATTGCAGAAAGTAGACTGAAGAACCCCGCTTAGGAATCAAAAAATACAATTTTTGCCCTCATCTTTTAGTCCATATTAATACAAAATGGCCTGGGGCATAAACTAAAAAACAGAGAAATGATCTATCTATCCATCCATCCTATCTGTCTGTCTGTTTTGGGGAAATAATCTAAAAATAAAAACGAGAGGCCAAGATTTTGTCAATATGTCAATCGATGTACATCACTCATAATACATTAATTTGGCTTGTTTTAATATGACAAAAAAAAAACCCAAAAGAAAATAAAATTGTCTGCTTCTTTAATTATATAGTTTTAATTAGTAATTTGATTAATTAATCTTCCTCCGAATCCGAATCCTATTTGTGTAGAGCAGTGTTTCCCAACCCTGGAGGCACACCAACACTACACATTTTCCAACATTTCCTAATCGATCACACCTGAATCAACTCATCAGCTCGTTAGTAGAGACTCCAAGACCAGAAATATGGGTCAGAAAAGGGAGATATCCAAAATGTGCACTGTTGGTGTGCCTCAAGGAGCAGGCTTAGGAAACACTGGTGTAGAGGAAAGCAGGCCACAACCTAACACATTTTTACTTTTGTCTAGTACAAATATGTGGTCTTGTTTCATTATTCCTGTGTATATTTTTAGTTTATTTAATGTGACAAATTCATGACCATATTTCAAAAGGTTATCTGATATGAAAAAAAAATACAAACTAAAATATTCTGTCAATAAATACAAATTATTTTTTCCATTTAATGGTGTTTAAATAATTAAAAATAACCTAACCTTAGTAAGAAATAAACTTTTGCTATGGTTAAATAAATGTTCAGAGATATCTTCCAACATTTTTTTTTCTGTATATTGTGTTGATATGGCAGAACAGTCATGCTAGAAACGTTCAAATAATGTGTGTTACCTCACCCCTACTGTATACCTTTAATCCCCTTTTGTAATCTCAGCATGAATATGAATCTTGGAAACGATTTCCTTTCCTTTTATTTTCACGTTGTTTCTAATTTCAGTTAGCCTACGCTTTGCTGAGTTCTCACTGCAGAATAAATTAAGCTTTCTGGTAACATTTTACAAGATGATTCCTTAAATTAACGTTAGTCAGAGGTGGACAAAGTACTTCCTTCCTTGAGTGAAAGTACAAATACTACTGGTCAAATATTATTACGATAAGTAAAAAATGTAAAGATTTAAAAGTACTCATTTTTAAAAGTAGGCCTACTTAAGTATCAAAAGTAAATGTCAATGCATTGTTTTATTATTGTTGCATTGTATGTATTACTTAGAGTATCTTATGCCCCTGAATCCATGCCTGCCTTCCTACCCTCATATCAATATCAAATTTATTTCTAGAGCACAGTTCCAGACTGAATGTGAGATTGATTAAGTGCACTCAATAACGTATACAATAGGTTTGGACACCCAAACAGCTGTTCGCTCAAATAGTGTCCTAATTAAAGTTTTTGGGTTTTAGTATGATTTACTGTTATTTATAAGCTAGTGTGCTCCAAAACAATGACAAAATTAGCATTTAGAAGATCAAACCCAACGATGAAAATAATATGTCAGAATCCAACATCAGACTGACGTTAATCTCCATTGTTGGACAGATGTTGTGGTTGAAAATGAAAAACTGGTCGGGTTCTGACGTAAATCCAATTCAAATTCAGATTCATTCTTTATTGTCCTCAGTGGAGGAAATTTGTTTTCAGTCTGTTACAAACAACACTATCAGAATTCTAAACTAGGATCCACGGATATGGACTATATATATATATATATGTATATATAGACAGACAAAAGTTACATCATTACCTTGTCCGTAAGTTTAATGGCCTTGGTATACATTAGATGTGGTTTTGACGTAAATCAGATGTCCGTTTCTGACATCAAACTGACTTTCAACCATTTTCCAACCAAAATGCAACTCCTGCAACCAAAATCATCCCCTGATTAATGGTACAACTTTATACTCAAGGACCTTGACAGAAAAGTGGAGTAAAAAGTACGTATATTTGTCTTTCAATAGTGAAGTTAAAGTAAAAAAATTTCAGAAGAAATTCAAGTAAATTATGTAGATACTAAAAAAGTGTACTTAAGTACAGTACTCAAGTAAATCTACTTTGTTATTGTCCACCTTAGTTAAAAAAAAAAAAAACAGCTGTTCATTGTTTATGTTAGCTCAGGTCCATTAAAGTCCCTGTAAAGGCAATTGTAAAAAAAAAAAAATAAAAAAAAATCTAAACACATTATAAATGTTAGAAATGTATTGCTAAAACAAACTAACTGTGAACTGTGAAGTAGCCTATTGAATTGTGGAATAAGAGTCAGACCATTAAACAGTTTTTCACCATTGCAGTGTTCCAGATTTTTTGGGTGGGGCTAAAACGGGGACTCGATGATGCACTGAGGTGGGCCCCTCCCACACACTGATAGACTTTGCCATTTTACCGCAAAAAAGCCCAGTAAAATACCGTTTATATTATTTATGGTTAACTACTGTAATATGCACTGCATTGTGGGTATAGTTAATGAAATTTACAGTAACTTACTGTATATGTGTATTTGCAGTGTTTTACTGTTTACGCAAAAGCAGTAGTGCTACTTTAAATGCATCTCTGCAGTATATATGAATGGGCATATAAGCACTGTACAATTTATACAATCTGTCTTATAATTCATGGGATGACTGCACTTTTGTTTATTGTGTACACACATTGTACAGTACAAACCTTGTATTAGCCTACTTATGATAATGTTTTATATTTTTCCCCTCCGCTGGATGTTTAAAAAACATGTAAATGGAAAGATTTGAAATGAGTTCTTATGGAGAGACTAGAGTCATTTTTTATATTATTATTTTCTCCAATAATATATTTATATTTATATATATATATATATTAAATCCACTTTTTTATGCCAGGTAAAAGAGCACACGTGTGGTGATAAATGTATCTTTTTCTCACACCCCACAAAATGTAAATTGTTGCTCTCGTGCAAGGCCTCGCCCGCAGCAGAATGTGTAAACTGAGGTTTGTGTGACGTCACGTGTCGAGTGCGCGCTCATAACGGACGTTCTGCTGAGAGTGGATCGCATCGCAAGACGCTAGCTGTGCCAGCAGTTTTTCGGAGGTAAGTAGCCTAACGTTACTTTTTACTGGACAAATTTCTTTTATATACGCTACTTTTACAAAGTAAACAATTACCAATATCAATTAAATATAACGGAATGTATGAATAAAGTAAATAATAAAATCTAGGCTCCTAACAGGAGAATCTGAAGGAAGTTAGTTTTCCTCAAAAAACGCTGCTTTCAGGCATTAACTTAACTTAAATGTCACACAATTGACTGACTGCCTTTTCCAGTAAGGTCGATAATCCCAATATATTATTTACACAAACAATGGTTTTCCGTCCTTTTTACTCATTTAGGCATATGGCATATTTTACTCGTCAGTTAAATGTGTGAGGTGTTTTGAAGTAGGACCTAACGTCAGGTCCTACTTCAAAACGTTAACATACTTTTTACTCCTAGCGTTAGGCCTACTTTTTACTCCTAGAAAACGTTACTTTTTCTCCTAGCGCGTTTTCTCAAAGGCACGTTCTCAAGTGTAGACACACGATGTAAGAGATGTGACGGCTACATAGGCCTAACGTTACATGCTGGATTCACTCTGCACAGGACAGAAATATGACATTTTAAAATAGTAACGAATTTAAAGCAATGTAGAGGCAGACTAAAAGATAGGCCTAAATGGAAAAATATTCATTGCAATGAATATTTTTCCATTTAGGCCTATTTGCAACCTATTTCAGAAATTCCATGTCAATAGTCCTAATTGGTAAAACTGTAATCTGATATCTAATCTGATCTGATCTGACTGTGTAAATGATTAATAGCAGTCATCCTAGATCTGTGATTTATCATATTCAAAACATAGCCTATAGTCATTAGTCAATAATCATAGATGAAAAATAATGGGGGGTTTTTTCTCTCTTTTGCTTGTGTCAACAGGAGCTTACTGCAGCTTCTTTTTAGAGCCACGCACATCACTGAGCATCTTTGGCTTTGTAAGTATGTTAACTATTAATAGCTACATTCTTTATATGTATGTTTCACTGTTAGTCAATGTGTGTTAATAAATGGATCTTTATTGTAAAATGTTCTTCTGAACGCTAATTTTATTGAAAAGGCAAAAAAATAATCTAAAATTGTGATTTAATTCACATGGCTCTTTGAATGTCCACACGATGGCACTGCATGTTTAAAGACTGTTGCAGGTTGCTCACAGACTCGGGTGATCCTCCTTTGGTGAGCAACTCCCTATACACTACATCCTGGAGAGTGCGATCCGCATATTACTTTTATGCCCGAGAAACCAGTCAGATCTGTGTCTTGGCCTTTGTGCGTATAATTTATAACCACGCCATGCGTAACTAGATGCTTTTGTCTAAAGTCTGAGACAAATTTCTCAGACGCTTCTCTTCTGATCTTGGCTTCTGACTGATCGTCTTCGAGTCCCAGTGAGTGGCTTTACTTTGATGTGAACTAACCTTTGTCGGCTGTTTCTGCCAACTTCAAAAGTCTCTTTCTGCATAACGAATGCATAAATGATTTTGCTTTTAAAGAGACAAAATGGAGTGTGCTACATATCTGTTTAATAAATAAAAAACATCCCACCTCGCGAACGGCGTGCTCTAATTCATGTTTTCATGTGACGTCGATGTCACAGTCCAAATCCAAATATACACTTGAAATGAAGTCTCTCGCCAATGCGTTTAGAGTGGTCTAATTTTTGAGTGGTCTAACCAGGTAGAATATCTGTCTGGTCTGTAAAAAAAAGAAGAAGAATAAATAAATAAAAAATAAAAAAATTTACTCACCTCATGTTGTTTCAAACCTATGAGTTTCTTTGCTCTGTTGAACACAAAATAAGATATTTAGAAGAATGTTTTAATCAAACAAATCAAAGGTAAAAACATGAGGTAGTTTAGTTGAATGAACTCAGTGTTACAGGATTAGCTTCAAGTTGACAAACTCAAACCAATCCGATCAGACTTTGTTGGTATCATGACATATATATTAAAAAAATATAATCCATGTATTATGGATTAAGGGTTTATTTACATTATTAATATCCAAATCACACAAAATAATTATTATGAATAGTCATCGCTAAAAGACAGACAATTTTATCTTTAAACATCTCTTTTTTTGTAGTTTGTAATTTCAGTTTGAGATCTCTTACCTAGAACATAACCTGCCCTGAAACAAGTTTGTCATGGAGTGCAAGTTATTGTGGTGATGAAAAGCCAAGCCATTTTCATTGTGCCTAAAATACAGGGTTGGCACAAGCTAAACTGAAACATACCTGACTAGGCTTATCCAAACTTAACTAGCTTCTTGGGTGCTTCTCAATACACAAATTGATGTGTCCTTGTTTCCTCACTCCTACGTCCTTTAGCCAGTGACCCGGAAACCGATAAAACTCCATCTTGAAGGGCATATCAATTCTCTATTTGCACCGTGAAGAGGCGAGGAATGTGGAGTGAGGAAGGAGTCATGAGCAAGGATACACAGGTGTTTCTTTCCCTTGCACCCTATAAGGGGATGGAGCTGAGACGCAAGGAAAGGAAGTGAGAGAAGGAGAATGAGAGGCACTCATGGTATAGGCCCCAGGCTTCCACTTTCTAATGTGTGTGTATTTGTATGTTTCCACAAGGGGGAATCCGTTTTAATCCTTTCATGATTTATTATATGTATCCTTGCTAATCTCTTAACAGCACTGATAGTATGTAATTTTTTCTGTGTGATATATATATAAACCGTCAGACTCTTAAATGCTTTCTAATCCATAATTTTTCTACAGGAGTGCTTTGGACTCAGTGACCGCCAACCCAGAAACCCCAGAATGAAGAAGTTATATTTTCTAGGTAACCAATTAAAATTTTTATTCATAATTTTTTTTTGCTTTTTCCCAGCTGGTGCAAGCTGGTAAACTTTCTTGGACCTGCAACAAACTATGTACCAGTCATACAAGCTTAAGTTGGTCAAGCTCTATCCATCAATGCATCCTAACTGTAGTTTTCAATGATACATTTTTAGGATTACTACAGAGATGCATTTTATTTGACACCAGATGGTGTAAGAGAGCCAATCTGGGTTTCTGTGACACTGTTTTTTCTCAATAAGCTGCAATGGAGAAGCGATGAGAGGCTGGAACAAAATGTTCCCATGCTGACGCACAGCTTGGTTCTACTCTTTTATGGCAGATGGTTACTATACTTATGATGCTTGATTATTTCTAAGCTCCCCAAGGTGCATTGTGCCTAAAAATAGAAGGTAAGAAGGAGAAAAAGAAAGGAGTTAGAGGAGATTGTGCTTTACATAAAATATCTAGAATTGGGAGGAGGCTTTGAATCACAGCTTTTGGTGACTTAACATCGGTTGCTTTAATTGGCTGACTGGGTACGTTAAATTCATTAGCATAGCAACACAGCTCTCCGCTCTCTCTTTCTCTCTTTCTCTCTCTCTCCTTATTGGGAAGGATGCTGTGAGGAAAGGGAAGAGGAGGAAACTAAAATTGGTGCCCCTGAGCAGGAAAGCCCAAATATGGAGTCTGATAACGCCGTCATGTGACGTCGAAATAGCAGGTACATTGAGTGTGGGCTGAGAGAAAGAGAGAGAGAGAGAGAGAGAGAGAGAGAGGTGGGGGGGGGCAACGTGCGTGTAGCATTCAGTACGTGAGTGCGTCAAAGCTGGCGCTGGCGGTCTCTGTGAGTGCCTCTGTGTCAAGTGCTTACGTCAGTCTGAGTCAGATAGCGTCTCATTGCGAGCGTGCGTCAGTGGTGTTGCTGAGCAGTCTGCACTCCAGGGAAAGAGTGAGGAGAGCGCTCTGAAAAGAAGAGATACAGGGACAAGAATGATGGAGGAATGGGAGCGAGGAAAGGACAGTGGTTAGCAAAAGAGAAGGAAAGGAGGAACTAGAAACTGACACATGAGTACTTTTAAGTGCACTTTAATATAAATGCCTCTGTTTTGACAACCAAATACACTTATCAGCGACACAAAAGAACACTGATCCACAATGTCCATTCTTCATAAATAGCAAATGTCAAGTATGTTTTCATATCATATGATACAAATGTCTCTGATATGTACAGACTGTTGTTTGTACAAATGTACAAATGATTACAATCTTTAACCGTTCCGCATCATGCCTATCTAGAGGCACGTGCACCAAGCATTCAGTAAATCAGCATACATACAATAAAATACTTTTTTTTATTTTTAAACGTAGCATGTAAATAGCTAGAACATAGGAATCAATCCTTTACTTGACCGTAGACAACTCTACGTTAGCATGTCGACACCATGGGAATAGAACCATTCTCAACCCGTGTCGATTAGTAACTGAATAGAAATAGAACGTCATCCCTATTTTCCTGCTCATTTTTTAAAACAAAACTTTGCTTCGTTTTTATAACCCCTCTCAAAAAAGAAGAATCAATCATTCACACAGTCATTGTCACCACTTCACACCGCAGACAGCAAAGTTACGATGTCACTGTGGTATTCATTATAAAGGTGCTTTTTCTCTTAGGTCTGCAACCTCTTGATGTGCCAGGCACACAAGAGCTTCTGCAGATTGCAAGCATTACAAATATTGATGCTGCAAAAGTCCAGTGCAATTCCTTCTAGCCATGCCCATCAGAGTAGACGGCCGAATGGATTCGTTACTCCTTCACTCAGTAATAGCTAGAAATAAGTCCAGTAATGTCCGTGCATGCAAAGCCATGCACAATATTTTCTCCCTCTCCCTGGCGGCTTCCGCTGCAGCTTTTGTCCACCGGCCAGTAGGAGAACAATGTGAAAACTTGACTTGTCTTGCACACAAAATGGAATTTGTTCACATTTGTACATCACATTGAAACACATGTGAAATGATATGTCCAAGAATTGCATTCACCACAAACTCAAAGCCCAATGTAGTCTGAATTCTGTCATTTATATTACCATTAGTTACTGAGCTGAAAGATTAGACTGGAAAGTCAATCAGCTGTGGTAAACATGCTGATATATTATTACTTTTACGAACTGTTCACTTTTTGAAATGACCAAATGTTGATCTATAATGTGAATACTTTCCACACATTGGACTTTGTGTATGTGTGATGCTATTGATGACAAGCATTGAGCTATATAAGCTATCTGTTGTTTCTCAATGGAATGTTAAAGAATCTTTTTTTCATGTCCTGAAAGTTCACAACTGAGTTTTCACTACAAGTGAATACAAATGCAAGTCTGTAAGTTGGTTTACACTTACATAGTCAGAGCTGTAACTCTCACTCATATAAGCTCATGTTACATTATAGCAGAAAGACATAAACTGATTTCTTAGTCCTCTTAGGACTTGTTAATACTGACTAGAATATTGCATTGCTACCAAAGGGTTGCACTATTATTAACATAAATGAATGGATAATTAGAAGAACAATTGTGAACATGACTGTTTACTCTCATTGGATTTCAGGAAGTTCAAGTCTTTTTTTGGCATTATATACATTATGTATATATTTATACAATTAATTAATATTCACTTTTCAGCAAAAGTAGCTCCATGAAATATGACAATATGCCATACTTAATGAAGTAAGTCACAGACTTATTTTAGAACGGAGGATCACTTCCACTCCCATCTGTAAGACAAAAAGAAGGAACAGGGGACACAATGTTATTAACAATAATAATATGTCGGTTTGGCAAAAGTGGCGACACAGCAGAGTGATCAGCAAAAAGACAAACTCACCTTTGCGGAAGCACTGTTGCGGTGCATGACATTGGAGTTGATACAACTCAGGTTGTTGCCCCAGGCCGGGGGCGATCGAGGCACCTGCCCCAAATATGGGTTCCAGGGCGGCCAGCTCCTCGAGGAGGGACTGGGCGCAGGGCAGGCCGGGCGGCGCAGGGCTGACAGGCGACGAGACAGGCACCGAAGCGGGGGAGGCGGTCAGCTGCAGTGGTGGAGATGTTGGTATGCCCATGAATAGAGGCGATGATGCTACCTCTGTCTCCATCGCAACTTCGCCTGCCGCCTTCCCATCTGCCATGTTGTCTGCATTGACTGGCGACATCATAGCCCCTCGCCCGGCCTCATTGTTACAGTGCGCCGATTGGACGCTACAGAAGTGACTGGCACTCACAGCAGAGGTCCCGTCAAAGTGCAAGGGTGGGCACCAGCACTCAGGAGAAGAGGGGGAGCTGGAGTGAGAGGAGTAAGAGTGAGTCGGTGAGAGGGGAGGGGAGGATGTGAGGTCCTGGAGAAGGGTCTCTAATATACTCTCTTCAAACAGAGACTCATCATCAGAGAAGATGGGCATGTCCAGGCCTTTCCAGGACTTGAGTGTGTAGAATTCACCCAACAGTGGGACTGTATCAAGTCCTGCAGAATTCAGAGACGGAGACTGAGAGCGTTCAGAAATGGTGGAAGGAACCAACTTGGCCAGGAATGGATCTAAGTAGAAGCCCTCTGCTAGCGTGCTGATGTGCTGGGCTAAAAGCGAGATCTCCGTTCTCTCTTTTTCTCTCTCACGCAGTGAGGAGAAGAAGGGCAGGCTGGGCTGTTTTCCAGGTGAGGCTTCAGGTGTGAGGAGACCTTCTGGTGGGTAAGGGAGTGGCCCATGGGGAACGTCAACATACAGTGGACCACGGACTTCTGGTAAAGTCATGACTGTGCAGTCACCATCACCTGGACTGTCAGGAGTAGGAGGGAGTTTTTCATAGAGCGACCCAGCGCAAGGCTCCACTGGGAAGAGGATATCTGTGGTTGGAGATGTTATAGTGAGTGGCAAAAGAGACGAGAGTGTTGTCGTTGGAGGTGGTGTGCTGCCTTGTGGGTTGGATTGCTCAGATGGAGATAGAGATGGAGCCGTCGTTGTTGTTACCGTTGCAGTTGGAGCAAGAGGAGATGGTGAGGTGGCACCGGTAGGATCGAAGCTGAAATGAGGCTCCTCGAAGGGAAAATTGCTTCCACCTATTTGAGGTGTGTATGGGGGTGTGCACACAAACTCCTTGGTCTGTTCAGTCTGGGAGGTTGGTACAGGTGGAAGAGGAAGGGGCAAGGCTGGAAGAGGAGGATCTATCTGGAATGCCGGTGGTAGCAGAATATTCTGAGTGAGGAAGTCCAAGTCAGACACTGTTGCAACCGTGACTGGAATGGGAGATGATGCAGAAGATGGACTGGCCACAGGTTCACTTGGCTCATGCTGGAAGAAGCTCTCTTCTTCCATAGAGGAGAGACTGGAACGTGGGCCGCTCTCCAGTTGTACAGGCTCCATTGAGGAGCTGCCACCTTGTTCCTCAGTAGATCCTGCACTGCATGCGGCTGTGCTGAAGTCAAATGACTGCCCAGAGAGGCCACTACTTCCTGGTGTGAACACTTGATCAGGGCTTGAGAGAGTTTCTGGACTCTGTAAGCTTAGGCTTTCTTGTTGGGAAGTACTTGAACCCAGCACCAAGGAGAGCTGGGTCTGTTCAGAGCTCAGCTGCTCCCTGATTGACCAAGCCTCTGTCTCACTGTGGCAAAGAAAAAAAAAGTGATATTAGTGATATTCCTACTTCAACTTGGATCATATACTTGACCTGATAGATGTAGGCTGAGCCTTACCTGATGATGTAATTGTTACTGACAATGGGGTTTTCCCCAGTTTCCAGCTGCAAGACCATATAAAGCCAGACCCATGAGTGATCTGCAATCTCTACACGAACCACCATCTCAGCTCTGCCCTCTCCTCCCTCTCTCACTGTGTGGTGAAAAGAAAAGATGGGTAAGTCAAAACATATTCAACTCCTTGTGAGATTTAATGCCATGTCTTAGTGGGTGGTCAGAAATCCTTTTTCCCTGTATATGTGTATTGCTCGCTGTGAGTGTCAAATGTTGATAGGGAACTGTGAGGTAGGAGAGTGCTCATGCTAGGCCTAACCAAGCAAATTAAGCTGCTTTTGTTTATTCATTCAAGAGTGAGACTCACATAGGTTGCGGTGCTGAGCTGAGGCGTGTGAAAGATCCTGAGGATGCAGGAAGCTGTACCAAGATTGGGACTGCAGAATCTCCACATTTAGTCCCAAATAAACATTCACACTGAAAGTTGGAAAAGGATAAATGGTAAGGGAAATTGTATCTTTTAAAAACACATTATTATAAAATATACTTTTTATTTCTAATTTTTTTTTACAAAATTACTAGTCATTTAACCTCACCTGTCTTGTGCTTCCTGAAGTCTCATGTCACGGCTATGCTGAGAACGGAAACATGGCAGGAAGAAGTTGCTCTCTGGTGTTGGAGCTGAAGATTGTTCTCTGTCCAGGGCAATCCCCCCTTGGGAAGTGTGAGGCTCCAGAGGAGCACAGAAACATACCCACACTGGGTTGGAAGTCCAATAAGATCCTGGGGAAGACTCATCTGGAGTTTCTGACAGGCAGTGGGCTCGGATTAAAACAAGCTTATTGCCTGCACTCTGCCTACGCACTGATTTGGAGGTGTTGAATCTGCAGCGGAACAGCCGATCTAAGGAGGAAAGGCATAAAATAAAGACTACTTGCATATCTGACATGTATTATCTATATGTGTGTCAAATTTTAAAGATCTTACCTGTGTCAGGTGAAGTTGGGGGCACCAGGTTACTCCTCATAATAAAGTGGTCTGCAGTATCTATTATGTCATACACACTGTCCCCTTGAGCGACCAAATCTACCTAAATATTCAAAAGAGAATATACAGTAGGTGAATGTCTTCTTTGATTCATTTTGCTTGTAAATAGACTGAAATAACATGAGATGAAAGGGAGTGGAAGGCTATAAATATTTAATGAGAATAACTGTTCTGTCTGCTTTACTCACCATTGAGTGTCCAAGGTGCTCTGAGACGCTGTCTGACAGGTACAGTAACTTTCCTTCACCAGTCAATAGCATTAGAAAACCTGGCATAACTTGAACCAACTCATTCAGTTCATGAAATGAGAGGAATCCCGTGGTTGCTTCAGCACTGATAGCTGTATCTGAAAGAAGTAATTTCAAGTCTGAATAAACTATCAAACTTCATCCATATATAAAACGTCTAGTATGAAAGAAAAGTTAGTTAGCGCTACTTCATTTCAGCACCATGGACAGCGTTTATGTTTCAGTACCATGGAGAAAATATGCGTTCTAAAGCGCTGTCTTCACTACATGTTCTTTTGTATCTTTAAAGCTATTTGTTAATCCATACTATCAAACAGATAAGCAGCTCAGATATAAAGAAAATAAATGTAAGATGCACCTGTTGCGTCAACTCGCGGCAATAAAAGTAATATACAGCAAAGTCTCAACACAAACTTAAATTTAAAAAAGCTTCTTCTAATTTCATGCTTTTATTCTAATTTCATTGCAGTCTTTTATTCGACTATATTAGAAAACAAACGATATTTACCTTGGCTGAAGAAGACAGACTTTCTCGTGTACATGCAAGCCAGCGACATGATGTGAAGATAGGACAGGCGAGACTTGTCCGCATCGGAGATGGGCAACAAGTCCTTCAGGTTCCTAATCTCCGCGTTTATTTGGTCCCTTCGGGCTTTAGAAGCTCCTTTTGTGGACCGATACATTGTGGTTACTAACGGAAGAGGACTGTTTCTGAGGTTCGCTGAAAGTGTTGTCTATGGTGCAAGTTGAGAAAAGTATGATGCTCTTTCCCAAAAGAGTTCAGGCGTGTTCACAGGTGTGTCATCTCAGCACATGTCCAGAGTACGGCTGCTCTTCTCCTTTCATCGGCCTCTCCCGGGTTTCCCCCTGCGGTTCCGCCACAGTGCCTGGCTCAGGTTGCGGACCGGAGGATAGATGGATCTTTCCTCCGGGTCGGAGATTGAGTCAGTCGGCTGCTGCTGAAGCCGTATCTTGCCCAGATATCAGGAGTCCGTAAATCTGGTGGAGTAACATTGCAAGCCAGTAACTTATATAGGCTGGGACTCCACCGGTGTAGGGGGGCTCCCAACGCGCCAACACCGACGTAAAAAAAGAGCGCAAGGGGAGGGAGGGATGGAGTAAAGGGGGGAAGGGGGGATTTATAGGTCTCATATCAGTGTAAGTAATGCTGAAACTCACTCATCTCACCCCTCCCAACCCTTGCGCTCTGACTCTGCTCCGACGTCAGCATCCCTCTTTCCATTGATGACGTTGGCTTGAAATCGGGAGCTCCGGCGACGCAAAAAGCCCGATTTGGACAAAACCGAGCAGTGGGCGGAGACAGAGAGTGAAACGTAGACGGAGTCACCGCACTCCAGTGTAAAGACGTGTGTAGAGGAAGGGGGGGGGGGGGGGGGGGGGGGGGGGGAAGGGTTTACATGGAAGCACGAATACATTCCCTGACATTTTTGCTGTCATGTCTCACTGCGTTAGCTATAATTTGCATCGTTTTCCACATTTTACCAGCTCCGTGACCACAGAATGAACCCTTAAAAAGATTTCTATTTTAAAAATGGCAGATTATAGTAGCTCTGCATGGCAGCATGCGGGACACTGCAGTGCTTGTGATGGCTTTAAATCCAGCAGTGCATTTGCCCCAGTAAACCAGACGGTGTAAACGAGAACACTGTAATATCTGCTTTATTGTTACATAAATGCTTTCTCTCTGTCCTTATAAGGGAAACATGGGGCAATCATTCAAGGACAGCAGCTGTATTGAGTTATGTCTTAGTTTGTGTGCGTAAGGCGACATTGTGGAGAAGAGCCAATAGCTCACTCAGAATCTATCAGCGCAATATGCAGTCACAGACTCAGTAATAGGGGACACAAAATTGGTTGCTTCATTATGAACTTGAGATGCTCCCGACGAGACAGTAAGTTTAAAGAATTAAATGGACATCAAGTTTATCCATCTGACTAAATAGATTGTGTGGTTCTTATTTCTCAGAAAAAAAGTGTATAAATGTGTGCTCTTTCTCAAATGATATTCCCATATTTGTTTCCTTTGAAAATTATTAGTACAGTCTAGACATAGCACATTGTTGTAATCAAATGTAGCCTACTTGTTAAATATCCCTCTTTATTTTAAACATTTTAAGTTAACATGGTAAACGTGCTTTTTAAAATCAAATTTGAAGCAAATAGACATGCATAACGACTCCCAATCGCTCTCTCAGTTGTCATAGGCTACACTATCATATTTTCTGTCAATTATGATCACAAATCATATTATAGGCTAAACCACGTTTAAAATATCACTTTCAAGTTCTGCACCTCAGTGTGGTGGTGAAACACTGTAATGCACAACTCCCCGGTCTCCACTAATTAACTTCAACACCTGTCAAACAATGGCTCGTTTATATCACATGCTCAACTGACGCTTATTTGCATCCTCTTTGGACAATTTGTTCCATTCGTAATGTGGACAAGACGAGTGTCATAGACAAAAGTCTCGTGCGCTCGCTGCGATTCTGCCATTCGTTTTCAGAAGAGGAAGCGAGGTAGCGGTAGCATGTTCACTGAAGGTGAGCTATTTTTAGCAACATGCAGAAACTCCAGTGCTTTTAGGAAAGTTACAATGTTAGGCTATGTGGCTTGGCGAGGTTCAACGATGCAATAAATCATAGCACGTTTCATTTTCATTCACGATAAATGACCGAATCGAAATCATTAAAAAATATACATGTGGATAGGAATATCTATTCAATTATCAATACAAAGCTATTATATGAATATGACTCTTTTAGCAGTCCTTCTCAGGGGCACGCGCACATCTCTGAAACCTGTTGCGTGCGTGAGCTGACCGTTTCACTTTTTCTAAAAATAGCCTTTGGATAGTGACTGACAAACGCACTCGTCCTCGGCGACACATTTAGTCTTTTTAATAAGACATTTGTGTTTTGTGGCCAAAATAAGATATTTGTTTTTGAGTATTTGAGGGTCGAAGAAGATTTATGCGAGAATCTGATTTCTGTTTTAGTTGGTTTCGGCTATTCTCCCAGCCAAAATTACATTTTAAACAGACCAGCTTGAGCAAGATGAGAGCCAACCGGTTTACATTGGTTTAAGAAATTCTTATCAGCATAAGATAAGTTTTCAATAAGCACGGATCACATTTAATACAGAAATTGTATAGCTAAAAACAATCACTTGTGCACATGTGTTTATGGTGGGATTAGCAGGAGGATACGTGGATAGCAAAATAATCCAGAGAGTCTTGCTATACAAAAGGATCATTAACCAAATCAATGTCTTGTTTGGTAGGCGCTGAGTTTGATTTTATTTAGTTCCTTATACATCTTGTTCTTGCTAAGACTAATTAAGATGCTCTCAAATTCAGTGGTAGAATCATGCATTATAGCTAATGCTGAAGATAGATCAACCCGATCCCTATCCATCCTTCAGAGCACCATCCGTGATAAAACCCTGGCAGTGGTCACCCTTTAACAAATTTCACCTCTTAAAAAAAAGTTGGCAGGTTTTTCTGTTCAGCCAGCCCACAGAGTGATTCAGAAACACTGAAGCATGCCAGGCTTTCTGAAGGTATAGCTTGTATGAATAGCCTCTGTTCTTCAGCATCTTCAAAAGAGGGACAATGAGTAGCCTACTACATAGAACACCATGCAGTGTTCAGCCTTCATCACCAATTTATGTTCAACTGAATGCAGTCCAAGAGTGTAAATTCTTATAAGGAAGATGGGTGGTCACCTGTTGTGAGGTTGTAGTGCATACAGTTTAATAATCCTTCTGCTTTCTTTATGGACCTTACTGAGGAGAATTGCTCAAAAGTATATAATGCATTTCCTTCAAAATTCTGAATCATTCACACAAAATCAAGGAAAGCTATGTTAAAGGTGAGGAAAAAATCTATATTAGGCCTTTTCAAAGGATTTTTTTGTCATGCTTGTTCTGTTGCTATCAGGGTTTTGTGAACTTTTAAATGCAGAATGTAGTTCAGTGTTTGCCTGCCGGATGTGAGTAAATGGATAATGGCCAGCATGATACAGTATCCCACTGTTAGCAATATCCCAGGGAACAGGAAGAGGTCATTATGCCTGTGCCCAGAGTACATGACTGAGTTGACTGTGCCTACTTGAAGCCTCCTATGATTTTTACAGAGTGGACAAAAATAACAATGAATATTCTTTTCAACCCAACATATAAATGGTTACTTTTTAATTCATTTGGAAAAAAGGATGAAAAATTAAGGTAAAAAATAATGCAATTTGTTGGAAATTTACATAACCCATCTTGTCATGCATTAAAATGCATGCATTATATTTGGACCCAGGTGAGGTAATTATAAAGTCATCTTAGCAAGTTTAGTCCCGCTTTTCCATCAAAGAGTTTTGAGTTCAATCAAAATGCGCTAAAG